CTCTTCAGGAGCAGATAAATAAAACAAATAGGTCATCAAATATCATTTTGAATTATCAGTGAAATCTAGACAACAATACAATGCCGATCTTTTTTTGAACAAATATCTGCCAGAACCGCTTCGATTCAGATATCACTGTGCATCCCCAATCTCACTGAAGCAACAAGACCTTCACTTGAGGGAGGTTCAAGGCTGCTCTAACCACCTCTACACATTTCAGAGATACAACTAAGCCAGGCACAAAAATGCTACTCTACAACAAATACAAGTACAATCATACTTACCAGGTAATGGCATTCAGGTCTAAAGCCATAGAGAAGATGCAATATTCTCATGTAGAGTCTCTGTATAACCTCTGGCTGCAAGGAAAACGGGTGAGATTTCAGTAACACGTGTACGTAGATAACTATCATATCACTTTGAAGGAAAATGGTTGCTTCCAAAATTTCAGCTCACCTTTGGGTTTGGAGTGATATCACTTTTAGCAAAGTGTTTTGCCTCCTGGCCCGTCAAAACATCGGTGCGGAAAAACTGCACGATGGCATCTACTTTGTATACTGGGAATGTGTTTTCCATCATAACTCCTACAAAGAAAGGAAAAAAAAAATCAAGATGACCAAATTATCATTTATAATTGTATATCATGAGACATACTTCAATATTGATTGAGTTTTAGCAAAATACTCAGTAGATAGTTAGCCTTAAATTCATGACAATAACCATAAAAAAAAAACCGTTTGTTGCCAAGTGGTTTGTTTTTATAATTTTTTTTGTGCACGTCATCACGGAGCCTTTAAGGGGCCATGGTAAATACATACATAAACACAAATAAACAAATAATTTAAAAAGGTAATGACATTCGTATTCCCCTGCAATGGATTTATCAAGGAAATGCAAAACTTCTGCGAGAGAATGCAAAACTTTTGCAAGGCAACAAATAAGTATTGCAAGGGACCTTTGTGAGGGAAAGCAATAACATTGCAATGGAAAACGACGTTGCAAATTTATTTCCTCAACGGCACTTCAGGGGCTCCGTACCACACTCAGTGCATCCAGAACCTGACCGTTAACTAATGCCATTTGCTGGGGCTTCAGAAGATAAAAAACAGAGTAAAATTCCTTTCTGAAAATCTGGTTCATGTTTACTATACTGAGTAAGGTTCCCTTTTGTGCCATTTTAAAAGGGAATCCCACCAATTTTCCAGAATTTCTCCATAAGTCAATTACTAAGAACAAAAAGAAATTCAGGGTAGTTTGGTGTATAATGTTTTATTCTAGAGAAACTTACCAAGACAAAATTGTTCACAGTGGTGGGAATTAGACATTGGAAAAACTACATCACAAAACGTTACTGCATGAAATAGTTATGGATATGCTGCCTGATGCTGTAAGATAGCAAGATAGTTTTGAGAAGCTTTTGGGCTACAATGTACTTTTTAAAATTCATTAATGGTGGAGACACACATGTTGGGTGTTATAAGGCAAAGAAGTCCCCAATACACCTTTTGTTTCTAGAGTTACTAATAATTACCCGTTATCAACATTCCATATAAAACTCAGAAGACACATGTAGGTTCACTGATGGCTTTGGATAGTAAATGAAATGGCTATATTTGTGTTGTAGCTATTGTGACCCCTGGTTCCTATCACCACCACTGTAAAGAAACCTGAGTAAGTTTCCCTACACTGAACCATTTCACATCAAGCCACTCTGAACTTGTTTACATCTCAACGATGGAAATATGCATACATTTTGAAAAAAAAGATGGCATTTCACTTTAAGAGGAAAAACAAAACAAAACAAAACAGTCCAAACAAAATAAGTTGGGTCTAGTTTATAAGACATTTTTGCGAGTGAAGGCTCTCAGGAAGCATGAGCTGATTAACTCAATCACAAACACATGAAAGAAGCACAGAAGATAATCAACTGGCACCGCCACACTGAGCAACCTCTCTAACTTTGCTTTCTGATCTACAGGAAGGTTTGGTCAACAGAAGCCACAAATACTGATAACTCAGTTTCTAAATCGCACCTCAATTTGCTCCAGTAAAACAATTCAACCGAATTGTGCTACATTGTCGAAACATCCTACCGTACCGCATATTTTTAAGTAGCGCCTTATAGTTATAGCTTTAATAACTAAGATATTCTGATGGCCTAAATTATCCTGTCAGAAAATGCTACCAGCAGTGAAATCTATAGGTAAGATAATTAGCCTAAATCTCCTTATCAGTAACGTCACCAGCATTAAAATAATTAGGATATTGTGATCGCCCAAATCACCTTATCAGGGAGTAATAATATTAATCGGAGTATGTACTGAATTAACACTAAAACACAAGAAAGCGTGTGAAACATTTAATTACTACCTATAGTAATGATATGCGCATGCTCAGTAGGACAGCTCGATGGGTAGGACAAATTGAGTGCTCAACTATGCGAAACTTCATTTTTGCAACAGAAAAACTGATTTGTTACAAAAGTAATCACCACGAGGCCGAATCTTTGCTTCTTAATGTAATTTCCAGTTCCACCTTAAATGGAGCCTGAGGCGCCAGAATGTAACTGCTGAACCATTTAAGGTGGAACGGGAAATTATAGCTACTAACGTTAAGCAGCCGAACTGAGCTTCGTGTATCCACACATAAATCATACTTAATGTCGCGAAATCTTTGTGTTTATTGTCTAACTGACCAATAATAATAATAATAATAAAGAAAAACTAATAATAATACAGAAAAACAGTGCGTACAAGTGACGAAACGACCGTTAACGTTACATTATTTGTTGACAACTAACAGTAAGCGCTACAGCAGGGCGGCTGAGAGCTGCGTTAATGATGGAAACGGCTTAATGCAAATAAGAACAAGTTACCATCTCTTTCTGAATTCGCTTCAGCCATTTTAGTAAGAAATAAAATGCATTTAACTCGACAATCAAACCTTTTTAACCGTAACAGTTTTTACCTTCGCCGCCGTTAACACCAACGAATTTAAACTTTCGGCGCCTCTGACGTCAGTTCCGCTAACGACAGCGGCCAGTGCCACAGAGCGCATGCGCTGCCACTCAGCGCGTTTTTGCTCGGAGGCATTTTTACAGTATTTTATTTAGATTTATTTATTTTATTCATGTCCACCGAATATAATTTTATTTTATATTATTTTCTTATTTGTTATATTTTATAATATGTAAAATATATAACGTAAATAACAAATATAAACAAAAACAAAAATAAACAAATATATCATATTGTATAATAATACAAAATAAATTAATTAAATAGCACAACGTTAAGTATAGAAATTACAGTATGTAAAATGTATACCATATACTTAAATAATACATATGGTAATAAAGTATACATTAACATAAAGCGAAAGTAATGTTTCTACAAAGGTTTTTTTTTCTAAAAAAGGTGATAATACATACATTAATGCAGTTAATGAGTTAATGCAGAACATTATGAGGAGACATTTTTTTAATAAGTCTGAAGGCCTTTCTCTTCTCTAAAACATCAATTTAATGCGCCAGTGGGTTAAGATTGACACTCAGTTAAGCTTTTAAATGACCACAGATGAGTAAATTCAGGAGTGTTATTTGATTAACACGCGGCAAATTCACAGTACGCTCCTTACAGTATGTAAGACCACAGATATAAGTACCCATGTATAGGACAGTATAATCAGCAGCAAAAGAGTCAGGCGGAGAGCTAGGACACCTAAGCAGCGCTGGATTAGGTTGTTGTTTTTTTTGTTTCCCACCCGTTCTCGTACAAGCCCCGCCCTCCTTCACTGGGAATGGGGAGTCGTTCATTCTAACAAACAGCCGTTTTATCTTTTAATCCATCTTTTTTGTTTTCTGATGACATAATTCAGCTTTACTGACAGGGATATTATTTTGGCATGTAAGATTTCCGTTCTCACCAGTAAGAATTCATGGCTTGAGTTTGTTCTAAAGGAAAAAGGTTACCACCATGAAAAAAATGTAATGATAAAACGTGCTAATCCAAATGAAAATGACACGTTTTAATTCTTTAAGTCTTACCAGCCAGCAAAAACTGAACTGTACCACTAAATTATTCATTCCATTAAAATTAATTGGAAAAAGGCTTACATTCGTAACAGTGAGAACTGAAATTGTAATATAATATAATAATATATAAATAATAATAATAATAATGATGTTTTTTATTTCATTTCAGTGGTTAGATTAGCCTTCAGGTGCCGAGAGCTGTTACCAGATTGGGAAAGTCTGCTTTTAGCTGGAAAGCATCAGTGAGCTGGAATCCATTACGACAGGGGTGTCAAACCTAAGGAGTAAAAGGGCCATGTTAGAAAATCTCAACAAATCTGTGGGCCAGATTTGAACTGCAGCTGAAATGTAGCTAGTATGTTTGCAGATATGACTAGTGTGGACTTGGAATTGGAATTATGTAGAGTTAAGGTGTAACTGCCGTCCCGTAGATTGTTGTAATATTAACAGAAAACTAAAATACTGCAGGCCAAATAGGATTCTGTCATGGGCCTTGTGTTTGACACATGGGCATTATGAGATACTCATAGCTTTGCTCCCTGGTGTCACTTAAACATTACAGATTTTTAGTCTGTAACCACCTCCACTCAGCCTGCAACTCAGTTTTATTTAATTATAGTTATTATTTTTATTATTTTATATCATTTTATTTTATCTTTGTAATTTTATCAGTGTACTCTGATTTGTTTGATTATTTTACTCTTGAATTGTCCTGACTATTGTTTATTAGTATTATTATTATTAATTTCAACATTTGCTTTTACAATTTTTTTCAACGTTTTTACACTCTATTTTTTCATTTTTCATTATTCCCATTTCTTAAAACCCTTCTTTTATGTGTATCTACTATTAATAACATTTTTCGTTCAAATTGAAAACTAAAAAAGTAAAAATCTAAAACAGCTGATAGGGCGCCTGCTTGTGATGATGAACTATTAGCCAATCACAGCGAAGGAAGGCGGGGCTTTCCCGAATGCGGGTGGGGAAAACACGTTCAGGTCAGGCTGCTCAGAGTTGACGCTTTTTTTTACAGGTGTCCACGTCTGAGTGCTGCACTGTGCTGTTTTTGACAGCGCATAAAGTGATAAAAGACCAACAGCTCGCTCTCTACCAGAATGTCCTTGCTGGACTCGGACGACAGCTACGATTTGGTCTTCAAAATAGTTTTAGTCGGGGATGTCGGAGTGGGTAAAACCTGCGTGGTTCAGCGCTTTAAGACTGGCACCTTCATCGAGAGGCAAGGCAACACGATCGGAGTGGATTTCACCATGAAGACGATGGAAATACAAGGCAAGAGAGTCAAGGTGGGTTCCTCCGGTTCCTCTGGCTCTGGTAAACGTGTGAGTTGTCATTTGGCCCTCATTACAAACTAAGAGTCCTCACAAAGCTCTTAAAGTTGGATTTAAACGGGAACTCCACCGATGTTTCAAAAATTCTGCATAATTAAATGGTTAACATGTCAACAAAGTCATCCAGAGTGGTTTGGTGTGAAATGCTTTGTTCTGGAGAAATTTGCCGAGTCAGAATTGTTCACAATGGTGGTGATAGGAACCAGACGTCCACCTCTAAAAGCTTCTTCGCAGATATATGAAATGGTTATGAAACACTGCCTGATGTCTGAATCATTTTACAGTAGTTTTGTGATAAGGTTTTAAAACTAAGTTTATATATTTTAATATGTTCATTGTGGAAAGATACAAGAAGGGTGTTCTAAGGCAAAATAGTCCCGAAAGAAATCTTTATGACTATTTCACCATCGTCAACATTCCATATAAAACTCATGTATAAACCTACATGACGACTCGTGTAGGTTCACTGGTGGTTTTGTATAGTAAATAAAATGGCTATATTTGTATTGTAGACATGGCAACCCCTGGTTCCTATCACCACCACTGTAAAGGAACCTGAGTAAGTTTCACATCCAGCCACTCTGAATGACTTTGTGTAAATCTTAACCACTGAATTTTGCAGAAATTTTGAAAAATCAGTGGGATTCCCCTTTAATATTCCCTCTGCCTGTGTTGTCTTTAGCCAAAGTGGGTTTGAAAGGCAGTGACTGGCTGTCTTTTATATTATGCATTAGAAAAACAGATTTAGGGGAAAATATCTTAATTGATTGCTGATGGTGTGAGTTGTTGACTTCAGTTGAGTCGAGTTGGCACGACAGGTTCAATGGACAAGTTATGCAACTCAGCCATCAGCTCAGAGGCAGGTTTATTTGCCGTATACGTTGGCATGTATCAGGATCTCACTGTTTGGCCACATAAGCACACAAGTGGCTCCGCTGTCAGTGTGTGGGTTGTGGAGCCTGATGACACTGACTGAAAACTCATTTGGCCTTACTTAAAAGTGACACTAGCAGACTAACAAAAAAGGCCTAAACTAAAAGCATCAATAGGCAACATCAACATACAGTTCCACTCATTTAAAAAGTACTACACACTTGAAGATTCCTTAGTGAAGTTTCCTTAGTAGCGTTGTATATAGAACCATTTCATGATTGAATGGTTCTTTGCATGGCGAACTGTTTTTTCAGATTGATGGAGAATGCATATGGTTCTATATAGGTTTTTTTTACTGTTAGGATGTCAAACTTGTAAGAACACTATATAGATTCAACTGAACCATTTACAACACACTCTCCATCAATCTGAAGAACCATTTCACCAGGCAAAGAGCCATTCAAGCATGAAAGGGTTATATATAGAACGCACGGTTCTTAATAGAAGCATTCCTTTTACTAAAGAACCCTTGAAGAACCATCTTTTCCATGTGTTTACAGACTTTGATGATGGTCTGAAAAGAAACTGAGGTAACAATAAAGTGGAATTCCACCAATTTTTCAAAATTTCTTCATAATTAAATCATTAATATGTGAAGTTATTCAGAGTGGTTTGATGTAAATATGTGCCATTCTGGAAAAGGAATATTCAAGGTCGGTACTGTTCACAGTGATGATGATAGGAACCAGACGTCCACCTCTGAAAGTTCCCTCACAGAAAGTTATTATATGAAATGGTTATGAATACACTGCCTGATGCCTGAGACACTGTTTTACGATAAGAAAGTTTGGGCCTAAAACAGATTATTTATAGAGTCTTTCTTGGTGGAAGGGGATGTACATGGTGTTCTGAGGCACAATAGTCTCCAAAGAAAACTATTTTTTCAGATTTACCATTATTATACCATTATTATGGTTTTTGCATGAGAAAAATAAAGGTATAGAAAATGGCTACACCCCTGGTTCCTATCACCACCACTGTAAAGAAATCAGTCAGTAAGTCAGTCTACAAAGAACTATTTCACATCACACTACTCTAAATGACACTGTTTACATCTCAATGATTGAAATATACTGACATTTTGCAAAGTCAGTGAAATTCCCCTCTGATACTGATGATATGTGATATATGTGAAATGTAATTCGGATTCTGGATGCAATGTTTCTTCACTTTCCCCCTAAAAGTGGCTCGTTGTAGTGAACGTTTCAGTGGCATTCAATTATTAATAGTGACTAATTGAGTAATTAAATGCACAGCCTGAGCGCTGAAGCACTGGGATGGTAAACTGTGGTCAGTTTGCTTGTTTTGGGGCCGGTGGATGGTGTGGACACAGCAGACCGTGTGTAGCTCCAGTGTGAATGCACACCAAGCTCTAATGGATGACTCAGCGAAATGTCAGCACTTTTTCTTCCTGGTTGAGTCCTGGTTCTAGAGGATGAAAGTCTAATTCACACTTCAGTGCTAAGCAATATTGATCAAATTGAATTGTTTCGATATTTTTAAATATATATATCAGATGATACCTGAGTTTTCTTTAATGAAGTAATGACCCTGTGCTCCCTGGGTAGTCTAACTCCATGTTAGAAGAATGTTCAAGGGGAATTCCACAGTTTAAAAAAAATTCATAGTGTCATTCAGAGTGGTCTGATGTAAAAAGCTCTGTTCTAGAGAAATTTACTGACTCAGAATTGTTCACAGTGGTGGTGATAGGAACCAGATGTCTGAAGACATTTTTAAATACATTTATGTTGGGGTACATGTAGGGCATTGTGGGGCAAACTAAATCCCACAGATTCAGACTTTCCACAATTTTATCATTGTGAACATCATATATAAAACTCAGAAGACGTGTAGGTTCACTGGTGATTTTGGATAGTAAATAAAATGTCTGTATTTGCGCTGTAGACACAGACCCCTGGTTCCTATCACCACCACTGTAAAGAAATTATTCTGATAGAGCTTCTTTACACCTCAGTGATTAAATATGCAGACATTCTGAAAATCAGTGGAATTTCCCCTTTAAACCCATTTAAAAGGCTTCTTCATTTGTCTTGTTGGATAGTAAGTTTAATGGCTATATTCCTGTTAAAGGCATTGTGACCCCTGGTTCCTATCACCACAGTCTTTAAGAGATCATGTGAGACTATTCTGAATGACTCAGACATGACATGATCTGGCAGAAATATTGACAGATTGGTGGAATTCCCCTTTAATCTGGTGTAGCTTGTTTTGATTGACCTATTTTGTTTCACCTCACACAGTGATGTAATCATTAATCATTAATCAAAGGACAATGTCAGAAAGAAAACTACTATTTTTTAAAGCATTTAAAATTGTTCTTTAAAACAATCTGAAGTAACCTGTAAACGAAATACACCGCAGTTAAATTCCTGGATACCATGTTGCACAAAACACAATTAAATACTGAAAACAAGCCATGTGGAAACAATAACACCACTTTTTTATTAAATTATTAATATATATCTCTGAAACAGACGAACAATATCATGTATCGTGTATCGATATAGACAATATGTCACCCAGCACTGTTTACACTATGTTTAAAGTATAATTGCTTGCATATATAATTTAGTAAACAAGTGTTCTAAATAGCATATAGGCTCCATTCCAGTAGAAAGAGTGACGATATTAATGTTGTTAATGCTGCTGTGATGGAAGTATTTTTGTTTGAGCTGCTGTTGTTTTGTATAGCTGCAGATCTGGGACACGGCAGGACAGGAGAGGTTCCGGACCATCACCCAGAGCTACTACCGCAGCACCAATGGCGCCATCATCACCTACGACATCACCAAGAGGTCCTCTTTCATGTCGGTGCCTAAATGGATGGAGGATGTGAAGAAATATGGTGGCTCCAACATCGTCCCCCTTCTAATAGGTCGGTGAATTGCTCGTTTTTCTCTGCATGTTTTAAGGATAATGGTACGTTTAAGAAATGATGAAATAATGATTAATTTTCTCAGGATGTTTTACACAGTCTTATGCAGAAGTTTCGACAAGCCCAGTCAAATTGAAAGTGAAAACAAGTTACACATACAAGGAACAAGCTTAAATATGGATTTTTTTTCTGAAGTTGCACAAAAGTATTTAGACAAATGTATTGAACACTCTTAAAAAAAGATGGTTCTTCAAAGGTTCTTTTGATAAAAACATAGATCTATATAGAACCATGAACACTCAAAGAACCCTTTGCGTGATTGAAGGGTTATTTGCTTCATGAAAGCGTTCTTCAGATTGAGGAAGAATGTGCTGTAGATTGTTCTATATAGAACTTTTTTAAAAAGGGTTCTACACAGCCCCAAAGGGATACTTCTGTGGTTACAAGCTCATATTGTAACAATAGCAGAACCGTTTTTGGTATATAGATCTATCAACAGCACAGTCTCCATAAAACTGAAGAATGCTTTCTTGACGCAAAGAACCATGCGATGGGTTCTTTGAGTGTTCAAGGTTCTATACAGAACCATCTTATTTACTAAAGAACCCTTAAAGAATCATTTCAGAGTATAGTCAGACAAAACAAAAATAGAACTCTTTAATTCAAGTTGTCATGTTTGAACAAAAAAAGGTTTCACGTATTATCTCAAGAAAACCCACAGTGAAGCATGGTGGTGGGTGCATCATGATTTGGAGCTGCTTCACTGCAAACTGCGCTGGAGGGTTACACGCTATTGAAGGAACCATGAATGGAGTGATGTGCCGGGAGATGCTAGAGAACAATTTAATCTCATCAGCCAAGAAACTGCATCTGGGGAGAAGATGGACATTTCAGCAGGACAGCAACCTCAAACACACAGCCAAAATAACCCAAGACCGGTTTCCCAAACCAGAAAAACATTTTTGGCGTTCTGGCCACTGGAAACGGCCTAGCCCAGGGGTGCACAACTCTGGTGGGCCGGTGTCCAGCATAATTTGGTCGTGTTCCTGCTCAAAGACACCCACTAAACATGGCAATTAACAGATCAGTTGAATCAGGTGTGTCTGAGCAGGCAAATCACCAAACTATGCTGGAGATCAGCCCTTCAGTACTGGAGTTGTGCACCCCTGGCCTGGCCAATATCCTGACTGGCTATTGGCTACTGGCTAGTACAAAGTCAAAAGACATGTGTTTTCATATTAATTGTAAAATACTCTGTCTGGGCAAAAGTATTGGGGCACCTACTCATGACACCTACAGGAGCTTTTATGACATCCCATTCCAAATCCATAGGCATTAATATGGAGTTGCCCCCCCCCCCTTTGCAGCTTCCACTCTTCTGTGAAGCTTAGAGCCTGGCTCGCAATCTCTGTTCTAGTTCATCCTAAAGGTGTGTGATGGGGTTGAGGTCAGGACTCTGTGAGGGCCAGTCAAGTTCTTCCACACCAAACTCACCCAGTCATGCCTTTATGGACCTCGCTTTGTGCACTGGGAGAAAAGGGCCTTCCCCAAAATGTTCCCACAAAGTTGGAAGCATACAGTTGTCCAAAATGTCTTGGTCTGCTGAAGCATTAAGATTTCCCTTCACTGGAACTAAGGGTCCTAGGCCAACCCCTGAAAAACAACCCCATATCATTATCCCTCCTCCACCAAACTTTACAGTCGGCACAATGCAGTCAGGCACATAACGTTCTCCTGGCATTCGCCAAACCCAGACTCGTCCACCAGACTGTTAGATGAAGAAGCGTGATTTGTCACTCCACAGAATGCATTTCCACTGGTCCAGAGTCCAGTGGCAGCAGGTTTTACACCCCCCACTGCCTTGTGGCAGAGGTAGCATTGTCATAGGATGCCATGTCACTGAGCACTGAGTACGATCCATCCTACTGCCAGTGTTTGTCTATCGAGACTGAAAGGCTATGTGCTTAATTTTATTAACCTGTTAGCAGTGGGTGTGGCTGAAACACCTGAACTCAATAATTCGGAGGGGTGTCCCAATACTTTTGTCCATATCGTGTGTCAGTATACTGTATACTGTAGCACAGGGTTGGGGTGGAGCTTTTTACTCTCTGAGCCACTGAGCGATTTTGAAAGGTAAATGTTTTACGACTGTATGTTGGTTTAAGCTTCAGTGTGTTCTGCCATCCAGGTAATAAAACGGACTTGACTGACCTGCGTGAGGTTTCCTTCGAGGATGCGCAGACGATGGCTCAGCAGTTGGACTTTATTAGTGTCATTGAAACTTCTGCCAAGGACTCCAGCAACGTGGATGAAGCATTTAACAAGATGACGGCCGAACTGATCCTGAGACACGGCGGGCCCATGTTCCACGATAACGTGACGGACAGCTTTAAACTGAACAGCAAAGACGTGACCAATGAGGGCTGGGGCTGCGGGTGTTGATGTCGAAGTTTTGGTTTCCGGCTGGTTGTGTTGTTATTAGCATTCCTAGCAATATTCACTTAAATCTGAACACAGGGTTCTAGTCGTGTGAACCATTGCTCAGTCAACGATGACTGAAATCATTTAATCAAGAGTTTTTTCAGGGACCAGTGGATATATCATATCAGGCTCAGAAGCGGCCGCGTTTTTAGAAAGATGAATAGACGGGAAGGGTTCAGAGTACACAGAGGAACCGGGTAGTTTGTGGTTGGTTTTGATGGGAACATTGAAGTTCCTACTGTGATTATAATGAGCGGATTGATATGGCTAATTCTCATCAATTCATAATCTGTGAGATAGTTTAAAATAAGCTAGCTTCATTCACCTGCCATAGCTTAATCTCCTTAAATTACAATCAGTTCATTCCGCTTGCTAATTCAAGTACCATTCAGACAGGATTCATTTTACATGTGGAGGTGAGGTGATGGGACCAGTGTTTCTCAGTGATTTTAGTCCCCTCCAAATCTGCCATGTCCGTCATTTTTATTGACTGCACACTCCCAGTCAGTAAAGATATATTAATCCCAGCTACAAAACGAACTGTAGAAGTAATCCCAGGTTATATTAATCCCGTGTTATAAAACAAACTGTACAAATATCCCCAGGTTTTAATTTCCTGCTATAAAACAGGAAGAATAAGAAATAATCCCAGGTTATATTATATTAAGAAATAATCCCAGGTTACATTAATCCCCTGCTATAAAAAAAAAAACATAGAAATACCCCCAGGTTATATTAATCCTGTGCTATAAAACAATCTGTAGAAATAATCCCAGGTTATATTAATCTCATGCTATTAAACAAACTGTAGAAATAACCCCAGGTTATGTCAATCCCCCGCTATAAAACGAGAAGAAGAAATAATCCCTGGTTATATTAATCCCGTACTACTAAGTAGTCTCTAGAAATAACTCCAGGTTACCCTAATCCTGTGCTGTAAAAAAACAACAGAAATTAAATTACCTCAGGTTATATTAATCCAGTGCTAAAAAACAAACTAAAAAATATTATCCCTGTTATGCTAATCCTATGCTATAAAACAACCTATAAAAATAACCCTGGATTATATTAATACCGTGCTATGAAACAAACTGTAGAAATAACCCCAGGTTATTTTAATCCTGTCCTATAAACAAACAGTAGAAATTTCTCAGGTTATATTCATCTCGCCTTATAAAATGACCCTTAGAAGTAATCCCAGATTATATAAATCCTGTGTGAATGGTTCATAAACGTTACAGACACCCTTTAGTAAAATGACATGATCCCACCACCCCATATATAACTGATCCTGTCTGAAAAGGGTGAAATGGGTGAATTAATGTGACAATATACAAGTGTTTCTCACATGCCAGTGTTTACTCCAGGTGATGCATATGCAACAGATGTTTTGTAGTAATGCTGTAATACATTATTGTAATACTGTATCTGTTGCTGAGAGACACTAATTACACTTCATATTATTGCACAGCTGCATTACGACTTCAGCAAGCGTCCTAGTGTTCAACTGGAAACCTGTATCCGTTAAAATCAGTGCTCTGGAATTAGGATGAACATTTCCAAGTGAATACAATGAAGAATATATGATGAACAGAACTGACCCTCATCTCATGACCATCCCCTCAACTGAAAGAACCTTCAGTTATGCACGTTACGTGAATTCAGGATCCTGTCAACTTATAGAAAGACAAATAGGAATTCTAGGAAGTGTCTAGGAGGGGTCATCACGACTTAATCAAGGGAAAGAGATGGATAAGCATCTTAAAGGGGAGTTCCACCAATGTTTTTTTCAATATTTCTGCATAATTAAATAGTCAAGATATAAACAGCCACAACGGTGGTGATAGGAACCAGGCGTCCAAAGCACTTAATGCCCCTAAAACGCACTTTACAGGAAGTTATTACACTAAATAACTAAGTAAATAGTAAGTGAATAAATAAAATTAGAAAATAAATCAGTAAAGAAAATTACTTTATTTGTCTCCAAGTTTCTCTACAGTGAACCATTTCACACCAAACCACTTTGAATGGCTGTTTACACCTCAATCAATGAATTATGCAGAAATTTTGAAGAAAGGGGGAATTCCCCTTTAAACGAGACTGATTTTACTCTTTACTGCCATAATGAAGTCTTCTTGTATTCCTGAATGTAAGCTCATAAGAATGTTCATGCGTAATAACTCATGAACTCTAAATTCTTGAAAACATTTCCAATCATATTTTGTAATAATTTTATTTTATTTCAATTTCAGTGGCTGTTGTATATTTTATTTACATTATGTAAGGTTTTTTTTTTTTAGTTAAATAACTAAAATAATTTTATTAAAATCTCATGCAGCTTTTTTTTTACAGCTGCATTAGCAAGTCAAAATGTCTTTGCATCTCAAGCCAGTTGTAGCCACATATTTTTACTGTTTATATTCTGTTTACTTTTAGATGAAGGTTAGATGTTTTGTTTTGTTTTTTTTTCAGTAACTGAAGTACACATTTTGTTTTTTTGTAGTAAATAGAAATAAATTAGTAATTTTTACTCTACATGTAAAGGAAAGTGATACTACATTTTTGAGAAGCCACTTTTACTAGTTTTTTTAGATTTATGGATTTTTTTTACTTTGCTGTACAATTTGTACTTAAGTATATTGGAGGATTGAGACATTATGTAGGATTAAGAGATGTTTTTATTTACTTGAAAGTGAATTGTAATGGAATCTTCCAGAGTGGATGTCTTTAGTGCCTTTTAATACAGTGTTTATACTGTTAGAATTATGAATTTGTAGTGTTTTTCTAGGGACAACAAAAAAAAAAATCTAACTTTGAATTTTATCTTGATATTTTATTAATCAATGACATTTTCTTCTCTAATGACATTTTTAATCTATGTATGCAGCATAATTTAATTCTCTGAATGACCCGTTCATATTGAATAAATTGTTTTATTATTTTATGAATAAAACTTCGATGCATGAATAATAAGTTGGGATACATGGATGTGCTTTATGGGTAGGAATTCATAAAATATCTAATCAGTCCTACTTTAAATTAAATCAGGTGCTGCTGATGGAACTGAACAAATCCATGCAATGGCTGTAAAGAAAATCATGAACCAAATCTGTTTCCTTCTAACTGTTTTCTTCTAATTAGCTTCTAATTTAAAACCAAGAGCTTTTCTTGTTTTATTTTTTTTGTATTTACGTTTATTTGTATTTATTGTAATGGTATATGATGTTTTACTGGCAAAAACACACTGCCCAGTAAATAGTTTAAACAATATTCTTGGTGCTTAAGATTACATACAGCTTTAGGCAAATGTTTGGGCACCCCTGGTAGTACTTACTTCGACAGTGTTAATAAGTGAACACATCCTCTACAGAGAACACGCTTCTGCACACTATTAATAGACAATTATGGTTTATTTGCTGAGTTTAACATAATGAAGAAAAAATAAAAAATAAAATGTGGCCTGTGCATAAGTTATTGCACATATTTTATATTTTGTGTTGTATTTTGTTTTTCATTATGTTAAACGCAGCAGATCATGCACTTAAATTTGGCAGAAACATGCCATATTTAACTTAAGAGGATTTATTAACTTGTTTGCACTTAGAAAATCAACAAGAAACCCAACAAAAACCTTTTCATACCACTGTATTGAATAATGTATATTATATATATATATATATAATATTGAATACTGGTTTTTGTTGTACATGGTCAATAATATCTTAAATCTGGGTCCACATTTATGAAGTGTCAGTAAGATCAAGTCTTAGTGTTGTATATTAAAAAGGCTTAGATCAGGGGTCAAAAACATGCAGCTCTTTTACTGCTCTGCTGCAGCTCCACAGCAGATTTTTAGGTAAAAATAAAATAATCCTCTTTTGCAGTAAAATAAAGCTCTGCTGATCGTTCAACACAGTTTTAACAAACGCTGGCTAATTCACCCTTTATCCCTGAAGATCAGTGCAGACTGCTGGTAACAGTCAGATAACAGTCTCGCCTAGCTAGTAGTTAACAAAAAAGCAAAGAGAAAGATTTAAGACAAACATCAGTAATTTGGAGACGAATAGACTTACTTGCATTTATAATCACTCCAGTTGGTTTCCTGATACGTTTAATCTGCAACGAAAAACTGACAAACACAAAAAATTTGCGAGGCTGACGTCAGTTTCTCATTCGCCAACTTCTTGCTCGAATTTTCCCGTTCCACCTTAAATGGTGCAGCAGTTACATTCTGGTGCCTCGGGTGCCTTAAGGTGAACGGGAAAATTTGAATGAGAAGCCGACTTCAGCCCCAAACGTTGAGAGACATTTTACGAGAAACTATTCCACTTTTGAGAAAAAAGTTTCCAGCTGGAGATGCGAGAAAAGCGGCTATAGCTGAGCTAAAGCTTAAAGCAGAGCAAAGCAAGTCTGCGTTTTCTTTTATAATTTTTAGCCTATATTAGAACATTAGCACATACTGAGATATTTACAGCCAAGATGTAAAACTAACATAAAATGTTGCAGCTCCCAAGGTGGTTAGATTTTTGCTGAAAGGACAAAATTGCTCTTAACATTTGGGTTGCTGACCCCTGGCATAGACTGATCCTAGTTCAGAATTGTTAAGTTTGATAAACATGGGCCCCGAATTCCACTTCCACCCAATTTCTCTCTGCAGCTGCAGTAGATCCTGGACAACCAGACCCAGAAATCCACCTGTACTGAATTTAAATATGCAAGGTTATGTGCAAACATGATTATAAATATGAATCCAAAGACTGAACCTCAATGAAATACTCTTTTATTAACACTTTACTGCTTTGAATAACTCTAAAGAGTAACTCTAAAGTTGTTAAGAGAAAATAAATACATTATACATGCAGTTCTCTGTTACGATGGTTGCACTTTCTTTTTTATGCCTTTATTACCTAGAAATGAGGTCAGCTCAGTGGTTTGAGTAGTGTGCTTTGAATTCATGCAGAATTCAAATATAAGAATTCAAATATAAGATTTTTCAGGTTACTGTAAGCAGTAGAATTGAAAAGGTTTTTAAGTCTATTTACCTGCTTAAATCATAGTTAAGGCACTGTAAAAGAAAGTGAGACCATAATATTTCAGTGGTACACTCTTGTATGTTCACACTGTTCACGTGAGCCAATTCCAATACCTTGTCAAAATGAATTAAAATGGCACAAGTGATACCGTTAGTGCACATTACAATAAATGAACTTTAAAATATAAAAAGCTTTACAGTACATCACTCATCATGTTGACACCCCATGTCTGTTTTATGTGGTGTGTATCTACTTCTGAACAGAAATCTCTCGACCAAATGCAGGTGTGACATGACGCAGGCAAATTAAGTAGTAATATTTTCCTACCAGAACATTGAAGAAACAGTTTAAAAAGTAAAATTATCTGTTAAATTTGGAAATAACAATAATGCAAAATTAAGTGTACGAGCTAAGCAGATTTAAGTAAAACACAAAAACTGACCTGTTTATGAGTTACTGTTGAAAATCTCTCGTGTTTGTGTGGTTTGTTTTAGTGTGCTAATGTTTCATTACTTTAGTAAACATTTACCAGTAACATCTTTTATGTCAAATAAAACTAACCAAATAACACATAAATATACACAAGTGAATGGACTGGAAGAATGTTCTCACAGTGCCTCTACAGAACTGCTTGGAAAAAAATCAATAATTGACAAATATCTATTGGCAAAATGCTGACAAACTCAAAACTCTTGAAACTACCTGCAATATGAATCTACATGTACTGTGCTTTGATTCAAATAAAAATCTTTTCATGCTGCTGCATACAACCCTGTGCAAAAGTCAGAAACTACCCTTCATTTCTTTACTCTCCAGTAAAAATAGCAAATAAATACACATAACTCGCCTACGGAAAAAGAAAGTCAAAGTTTCCAACATGAGTTAAAAAAAAAGATTAAAAGCTACAGAGAAAACTGGATGAGTAGCTGTCCAAGGGGAAACACTATAACATGACTTATAGAGTCACTGAATGCGTTTACATGCACTCAATAATCCGATAACTGCGGAATATGAGATTTTGTCAAATAATCCGATCAAACTGGGTGTACGAGTCAGACAACAATTGGATTTCTGCTTTGCAACCAGCCAATAAACTCACAGAAGAAGACGTGACATAAACTCGAACTTCATGCTGCGGCTTTTTTAAACATTGCGCCACTTTACCTGAAAATATGAACAAACATCATCTAGAAGATGAAGAATATCTAAATCCTCTATTTCGTGTTTGGTTTCAGCGCCACTCCAAAAGTGTTTTGCTGCCATCTCGCGACAACCACCGCCTGTTCTCACGCATGCGCAGACTGAGAAATCCGAAATAAGAGTAAGAGTTTACATACACTGAGAAATCTGATTACTGAGCTCAAATCTAGCTCTCTTTATCATATTCCTTAATCGGATTTCAAGATTGGAGTATGGTGTATACATGACCATTTGAATAATCAGATAACTGCAGAAATCTGATTATGATCGGATTATTGAGTGCATGTAAACACACTCACTGAGAAAAGGACAAAAATGAAAAATGAATGGTGTTCCCAGAACAATGGACGACCCAGACCAGAGTCCAGACCTCAACGTCACTGAATGTGTTTGGAATTACTTCGACTGTGAGAAGCAGAAAATGCAAAACCAGCTTCTAAGGCTGAACTTTGTGGGTGTGGAACAATATCCTGGCAGAAAAACTAAAAGTGAGTCTCCTGAAAAGAATGGAAGCTGTAATAAGGCTAAAGAGTGGACATACTAAATACTAAAAATAAGTTATATTTAGTTGTTGACGCCTCTCTGTAATATTTTACTATTTAACTATTATTCACTGAAAAATGAACAACTGTTTTGAAAGGAAAGTAAATATATTAAGGGTGGTCTCTGACTTTTGCACAGTACTCTACGGCCCCTGTCTTTAAACAGTGTAAGAGACATGGTAAAACTGGCCTTTAATCAGTATAAAAGGGTCACGTTAACACTAACCCTAAGCAAGGAGGCACACATTACTACTGTGAATAAAACTGAGGCAGCTACAGCTTACAGTAATGTATCATAAAAACACTTAGAGCATAATCACTCCATGTGGCAGTAAATGAACTGTAATTATAGGAAATATGGTCCACGTGGTGAAAAACACACAACAAAAAGTCATCTGGATAGGCAGCACAGTCAAATTACAGTATTCTCTTTCATAAGTCTTTCATATTCTTCACTGTCTGGTCTGAATGAACCACAGCACCTTTGGCTTCATGTTTTTAAAGAAATGCTCCAGGGGTTTTTAACCTGTATCTGCAGCATCTGCCCATTGGCTCCTATAATAAGTGAGTTTTCGATTGGTTTTCAGTTCCTCTACTTAGCTTATTGAAACGTGTTGAAATTACTGTGTGTAAGATGCGATACAAATGCAGCAGACAGAGATCAGGCTAAAATATGACGGGTAAGGTTTTGCATTGTGCTTCTTGCTGGACTTTCCTTCTTTTATGATAACCATGGAATGAAAGTGTTTATGTGGCCTGGAAATTATGAACATTTTACTAAACGGGCGTTGGGAATTTCTCCATTTTGAAAATAAGTTCGACAGCAGCGTCCACGTCCTGGACCACGTTCCCGGGCTCCACGAGCGCCGGATCGAAGCGGAAGTCGCGGTGTCCATGGAACACGGTCTCCTTGATGCACTGGCTCGCATCTTTAGGCACCTCCGTGTGAGGGTTGTACACCCCTGTGCACACCAGGATGGACTTGCAGGAGGTGGCCGAAGGGGAGGCCAGCTCACTCTCCCAGCCGCTTTCCGCGTCCACTTCCTGGCTGACCGGCGCAGGTGCTCCTGTAGCAGCCACCACTTGCGCCACAGCTTTGGCGCTCTTTCTGGCCAGCCGTTCCTCGAGGTAGCGGTTGTAGAGGTTGGCACCGTAGATGTCTGTCATGAGGTTGTCTCTAAATGTGTTTAGAAAACGAGAACCAACTCATTTACATATATCCACCCATTCAATCTACAGTAGTTTAGCCCTGCTTAGTCATACTGAAGTTCTAAGAAGTGTTTCAGAACAGAGATCACTTACATATATCAGTTTTAAAGGGCCAAGTACAAAAACAAGGACAAAGAAAGGCTGGAACAACACATTTACATATCTGCCCACTCAGCCTACAGCTGCAGAAGTTAATGGAGTGGAAGATTAAATGTTGTACTGTTCATGTCTGTCAGGAAACAAATGACTAATTACAGTCTTTTAAAAGATGCACACATGTGAAAGCAGCGACTTAAAGCTTTTTGTTGCCAAGGCCAAGAAAATTTCAGTCTCAACAGCTTGTTTCACATCTCAGACCAGGCTGCTTTTCTGAATGTGGTGTACCTTTATTTACTCGTGAATATATCTGTTTTAAAGGCACAGTAACCAAAAACACCCTATTTAAGTGATAAAGAGAGGTTGGGAAAAAGTCATGATTTAGTAGATGAAAAGTGGACTTGAGGTTAAAGAAAATAAAATTTAAGAAAAATGCAGAATATTGGTAATTTAAAGAAATATGAGTTAGCACTGAAAACTGTAGCAGATCTACTGTTCAGTTCATTGGCACAAAAAGTTATGCAAGCCTAAAAACTTGACAAAAATTAAAAAATGCATTATGTTCCAGGGTCATTAAACACTGGAGCTCCAATAGGAGATATCTATAACAAGATACATGAAAACATATATCCCTAAAAGATATTAGACAGATGAATCTCTGCTTACAGTTTCAAAAAACAGATGGAAATCACGTGTTTGGTTCCATAAAATGACCGAAAGTGATCATAGGTTAGACGGGGGACCAAGACAGGAACCTGGAAATGCTTTGGTCATCACTTCCAATCAGTCAGCCTTTCTGAAACTCACGCTATGGCACAGTAAAGAAGTGAAAGTCTCTTACCCAATAGCGTAGAGAGATCTGATGGGTGCCCTCCAGCCTCTCTCAGCAGCCTGTTCTCTGATGAGATACTCAGCATAATGATAGGTCAGCTCACTGGGCTTCCCCATTAGAGCTTCATACTTCAGATCTCTGCCTGTGATCTTCTTGTAGATGTTCTCCAGGCACACCATGAAAGTGCCATGACCGAATCTGTGAATGTAGAAATCCCAAGAGTTCCTTGCAAACAGGTATTTTTGAAATATACAAGTGAAATATCGGCTTAAACAAAAATCTGTAAACACCAAGTTTTAATTGATACACACATATAAATTTATATCACATATACACCCCATATGTCAAACACAAGGCCTGCAGGTAAAATCAGGCCTGTGACACAATCCTATCTGGCCTGTGAAAGTATTTTAACTTTCTATTCTACAACAATCTATGAGACAGTGGTTCCACCTCAATTCTACCATACTAGTCATATCACCAAACATTTCAGCTGCAGTTCAACCAATATAAACAACTAGCAGCTCAAAAACTGATTCCAAGAAATAATGAACTTGCAGCAAAGAAAAGATGCCAGCTGTCTAGTTCAAGCAAATAGGGGGTTTAAAAGACTGAGCTCCTGAAGACTTTTAAATATTGAATATTTCAAACATTTGTGTAATATTTCAAGGTTTACCACAAGTGGCTATATTTTGCGGTTTTGCTGTACGTTGAATAAACAATGGCCAGTTCAGGTTGTCGCAAGATGTTATTTAAATATGAAATAAAAACACAGGTGTGCTCTGGCCCACTGATTTGTTGGGTTTTTTTATAATAATGCCCATTTAGTGGTTGAGTTTGACACCGCTGCTCTACACTGATCAACAAGCCACAGTCTTGACAGAAAATGGACAAACAGACTGGTTCCACACCAGCAAAGGAGCTCGACAAGGCTGCCCACTATCACTGTACTTGTTGATCCTGTATGCTGAACATGTAATAAAAGAACTTGTGAGGATTAAGGATTCAAGACTGAAGAAAAAAACATCAGTAACCTATGATATGCGGATGATGCGACACTCATAGCGAAAATTAAGGAAGATGTAAAGGCCTTTATAACTTATCAGTTAAATAACAAAGTGAAAAGAAGGAAAAAAGTCAGCTTAAAATACAAAAAAAAACATATATTTGACAATATGAAAGACCACTAACTTTTAACATCGACGGTGAGGATGTAAAAGTGGTGGACAACTTTACTCAGATCAATTATTAACAACAAAGGATGCAGCAGTCAAGAAATACGACACAGATTGGTACTCGGTAGAACAAGGAGGAAGGAGCCTGAAAACATCTTCAATGATGTAATGATGTCTTTCTACAGGGATCAGAATTGTCCAGGCTGTGGTCTATTCTTTTCTGTTCTTTATGGATATGAAGGCCGGACAGTAAAAAGGCAGAAAGGAAAAATATTGATGTGTTTGAACTTGTTGTTGGCGAAGACTTTTGTGAGTACTTTGGATGGCAAGGAAAACAAATTGATTCTTCATGAAATCAAGCCTCTCCTCTCACTCGAAGCCCAGATAACCAAACTGAAGCTCTTATTTGGACATATTATAAGAACCAATTCATTGGAAAAGACCATTATGTTTGGAACAGGTGAAGGTAAAAGCAGAAGAGGACAACCAGAAGTGTCATGAAGAATTCATTAAAAGCCTGAAGACTCAAACAGAAGACAGGAAACTCTGAAGATACACTATCAATATGGTCTCCAGCCTTTGAAATTGACTACAGTAATCATTTAATTCATGCTGTCATGCTTCCTGCCAAGGATGCTTCCTTTGCCTCTTCTCTTTCTCCTGTGGGATCAGTTGAGTCCATGGACTGTGTAAAGGACTCCAATTCCCATGAGCCACTGGAAGATCATGTGACTTCCCTTACTTCCCTATCCACCAGTTAACATTCTTTCCTACACTCCTCCTCACCGGAATTCTGAACTCACACACCTGTTTATCATCTCTAGTCATTAGCTAGTCAGTATTTAAGCTCGGGCTTTAGACTAGCACATTATGAAGTACTGCCAACCTTCCTTGTTGAGTACTGAGTGGTCTGGCTTTGTTAAGCCTTTTTGTGTATGATGTTTTTTGACCTATACTTTTTGTGTTTGCCCTTATCAGTTTGTTTGCTGTGATTATTCTGATCTACGGGTTTTAACTGTGGACTGGTAACTAGTTTCACCCCCTTGATGTCCCTTTGGTTGTGGTTCTTAAGATCTCTGGTTTTGACCTTAGACTGTTACGAATACCCTCTTTGTGATTCTCCTAAACCTCTAAGTAAACTATCACCTTGTTTTTTAATCTGCGAGCTCTTTCCTAACACATGTCCACAGAATTATTGAAATATTGAATAAAATATCTAAAGAAATACCTTTAGTGTGCAGTTATATTTGTGGTGAATAGGAAACATCTAATTTAACCAAGAGTGTTTAAACTAGTGCAAGTTATTACTGCATTCAAGATAACAAAAAACTGTTAACATGGCAAGTGAGTCCATACTTTTCAATGGTAGTATATATATAAAATAGACCTATAAGGTCACCTGGACCTTGGCCAAAGTGGACAGTGAGTGGAAGTACTGAAGGTCGGTGTTTCAACAAGTGTAAGATGTTTACCGTGGAGCTTGTGCTTCTGCCATCCACATGAGGTCCATGTTACAGGCCAAGAGTGGCAGGTGAGAGGAGTGTGAGGTTCCATACGCATTACTCAGATTCCCATTGGTCAATAAAACATCGATTATCAGCTGCAGGTTGGTCTCCCATCGAATAGGCTCCCCAAAGAGAATCACAGCTGCAAATCAAGAAGCAGAGATAATTGCTGCTATTATCTAGAGATGTCAGATGTGCATGTATTTCTAGCTCATGACTACAGTTACTGGTAAGTAGGCCTGAGATACAAACCAAATTCATTAAAAGGTCAATTACATTGTGACTACAGGCTATAATATCAGCTGAGCACGGTGCATGAAACATATATTTGATGTATATCTATCAATAAGAATAATAAAGCATGCCATAGCTATACCGCTTAGCATTAATCTGTTCTCGTTACTGGTGCTAATATGTTTCTAAGAAAAAGGAAGCAGGAGAGGGACATGAAACCTAGTCAATTAATGTTAACAAGGACCACTGAGGGGGGAATGGTTAGCAAGCCTGTACATCCACAACACAGGTGGACACACCCGTGGAGTTACAAAGTCCTAAGAAACAAATCCATTTAACAACAAAAGCCTCTTACCTTCAACTTTAGGGAGGTTCACAATAGGGGAGGACTGCAATAATAATAAAGAAAAATGCACTTGATATCTCCTGATCTAACTTCGATCAGAGAGATCCTGTAACCTGTTGCTCAAAATAAGGTCACATTGGTTTGACAGTAAAGAATTAAATATACTGGCCTATCATGATATCACAAATTTCAGCACAGTTTAGTTCCAACTCAAAACAAACTAGGGCTGTCACAATCACTTGATTTAAATATTCACCATTTAAAATCTACCAATGATTCATTAGGAGTCTGCATGATCATAATGCATATTTTAAAATCCATTTTTAAACAAAATTTTATTTTTTTCCATTAAAAGTATGTTAGAAATCCTTGAATTGCTATGTTCTGTTTGGTTATGTCCATTTTTTATTTTTAATAAATCAAATAATAATCAAAATAAATAGATTTTACTCTATTATTAGATGACTCTATTGCCAATATAACTGATAGTGACAGCCCTAAAACAAAAACAACTGATTCAACTAACCAAGATTATCTCAACACTGTAAAAACTGCTCAGACTAAAATTGTAAGGCAACTGATTTCAGGGCACTAAAGTTTTCCCAACTCACTTTCCTAGTTCTGCATCTCCGTTTGGTAAATGATACAGGAGTGTTTTTTTCACTCAGTTTCTCCGCTAGCTGGGACTCTTTCCATTACACGCTCCCATCAGGCATCTTCTCCTCTTGAGCCTCCATATCTGGAATGCTGTGGCTTTGCTTGGGCTTCAAACTCAAAGTCTCCTGATGCTGGAATGCATTCCTAGCCAGCTGCACCACATGTGACCAGTTAAAACAGGAAAAACAACAAATATTTACTACAGTATATTACAAAATTGTGCATTCGAAATGTGAGTAAATCCAGGTGCTCCTGAGTTGGATTAAGCTATCACCCCAAAAGACCCCAGCGATGTCATAGCCATCCGTAAGTACCCAAGAGGAAAAAATGTCTGATGGGACTGTGTGATGGAAAAGAGCCCAGCTATTGGGAACGTGAGTAAAAAAAACTAATTTTATATCATGTACCAAACTGATATGCCACTGAGATGAGATGACACACTCCCATCATCCCATTTTCTCCTCTTGGAAACTCACTTATGGATGGCTATGGCATCGCTATGGCCTTCTTTTGGAGTGATAGCTTAATCCATTGCACAACTCAGAAGCTCCTGGATTTACTTAGAAGTCCACAAACGTGTAATATACTGTAAAAAAAATTCTTGTTTTAACTTTTAACTGCTTCAGCTGAAAAGTAGCATGGTCACATGTGGTGCAGCTGACTAAGAATGTGTCCCACCATCAGGAGACTGTGAGGTTGAAGCCCAGCAAAGCCACAGCATTCCAGATCTGGAAGCTCAAGAGGAGAAAATGCCTAATGGGACTGTGTGATGGAAAGAGTCCTGGCTAGTGGAGAAACTGAGTAAAAAGGACAAATTCTATATTGTTTACCAAACTGAGATGCAGACCTAAAAAATTAAGAGAACTTTAGACTAAACTATGAAGTTTGAGTTGAACTCTAGTCTCCTTAAGTTGACTCGAGTTAACTTAAGAAAAGCTGTGTAATCAGTTGCTTTATAATTTTATAATTTTACATTAGGCTAATTAATAGTGAAGACACTGATTAGCAGCATAAAACATGTTAGCTTTGGGTTGAGACTAAACTCTGCAGGACAGCAGTTCTTTAATGTCCATATTTATACAAAATAAATGCATGCCAAGGTATATAACTGGTATTCTCATCTGTACACAACTACTGAAAAAAGCACTGCTCTCTGTAAGTGACTGTGCAAAAGTTTTAGATACCTGATAAAATTACACATGAAAGCCATTTCTCTGAACAGCAAGTGTTAATTTACTTAAAAAAACATTTAAAGTTAATACAAATAATAGCACAAAAAATGGTTATTTTTTCTCAATGTGTTTGTTTACCCACTTCCAAACCTCTCTTTGTGGCAGGCCAGTATTAGTTGTGATTATACTAATATCTGGTTTGTCTACTCAATCCTTCTTAACCTAATCAGTTGTGCAGCTGATGAAATGTAACAATTTCATGTGATTGCAGGAGAAATCAAGAACCAAACCTTTCTTCTTTTTACTAGCTACCAAGACCTCAACTGTGTTTTTGAAAACAAGAATGTCTCGTCACTTTTGTTACAGTATTTGCTTGCTTTAATTCTAATGTAAAATTGATTATTCTACCAAATTGTTTCAAAGTCAGAACTGAAAACACATTTTGAACTTTTAACTGACTTTGACTTTAGACTAAAATCTGTTTGCTTTGAGTGACCCTATAAATGAAGTAAGTTTATTTCATTAACACAAATGATTAAACATTCAATTTTGTCACTAAAAAAACAATCAGAACACTAACAAAATTTTACCAAATGTTTCAGTAGTGACAGTTTAGGTTGTGACCATTTCAGCTCATTTAGAGCAGAACTAGTAAACACAGCTTTGAACAGTTCACACAACAAATCATAATAATTTTCATTAAAACTATAATAGAAGTTGTAAATCCCTGTAAATATCTATGGTCTGAAAAACGATTTTGTTTAAACTGATTCAGCAGAAGATTTTACAAACTGAAACAAGACTTATTGTCCCAGATTAATGTTTTTTATCAATTTGCTTGAATGCCTAAAACTTTTGCACACTACTGTATTTATGGCCCTATGACATTGTAGAAAAACAAGTGTTTGTTTTGTGCGTGTGTGTGTGTGTGTGTGTGTGTGTGCATGTGTGTTTGCTCCTGTTGTGCTGATTCTCTGTTGCCGAGCATCTTTCACCTTTTCATCCTGACCTTACAGTCCACTGAAAAAGATTTGAAATGACAACTTTTCTTTTTCTCTACAATAAGATTATGGAACATTTTCTATTTGGGTTCCAGCTCTGTTTATAGCTACTAGTGATGAATGCATGACCTTCATGGCAAAATGTCTTTGTCTCTGTGATGAAAATTTTCATTGATTTCAGACAAAAGGAAGTTTAAGGCAACCTTTGAAGTGTTATGTCCAATCAGTTTGGCCCGTTGGGTCCAGTTTTTTTGTGATAAGGATTTATTAGGATAATTTAAGGATTCCAAAAACAGCATGATACAATAGTGAGATGAGTATTGTTTCTAGCCTGTTATACACTGATCAAGAACCAGTTCCTTATGGCACTAAAAGAGATGGTACAATCAGTGCTAAACTAATTCATAATAAAATAATGATGAGTTAGACATCATTAGAGAACTGTCTATGATGAGTGGTGAAAATATATATATATATATATATATATATATATATATATATATTACCAGGACCCAAAGTGTCCAGCATGTAGCACACATATAAGTTAAGTTCTGGCTTGACAATTATTAATGTTATGAGCTGTTGGTATTGACAGTTATTAATGTCAATATGTCATTAAGTACAAGCTGATTACAGCAGTTAAAGTGACATGTATGAAGTTTAGCTAAAATGCTTGGAATCAAACTAACAGGAGCAGATTGCATAGCCTGAAACTGCTTTTTCAATAAAATGGGAGAATGGAAGGAAAAAAGGTGGAGTACAAAAAGATGTAACAGGTAGGTGGAAACTAAGGTTTAAACGCTTGTAAGACGTAGGAGTCTGAGCAGTTTTAGAAAATGACTTAGACTCTGTGGGCATTAAAAAAGGAATGACATTTCTCAGGAAGGAAAGCATGCCACGTTTGGTGGCTGTAATTTTTAGGCTGTAGGAGGAAGAACAATTTAGAAAAATGACTACAGTACATCAAGGAGTGAAACTGGGATGGAAATGAAGGCTTTTACTATGAAAAGCAGGAACACGATGGACTGGTATAATCCATTTATGCAAACTAAGCTGCAAAAAACAGCACATTTTTAATTCATTGGTTTCATGATGTCAAAGAAAACAATCCCTTTACATGCCTACAGCAGTTTAGACCCGTCCATTCACACAGGCTTTGTTTTTTATACATTTTCTCCATCCTCCATCTGTTTTGTCAAGCTGCTTTTAATAACATATTGCAGTTCTAATGTATTTATGTCTTGTAATGCTACCTATATGCTCATTTATTTCATAGGCCTGCACAGGTTTGAGCTGAGCCTGCACTAGATCCCACATTTGTGCTTTTCATGCATTAGGATCAATAATAAACATGTCAGGTGTACTCACTGGTAGCTTGGGGCGTCTGTTGTGATCCACCATGTCCAGCAGGGGGAAGGATTCTCGTAGCTCGTCAATACTGACCACCTTGGTAAAGCCCAAGCTGAGAGAGTGGGTTAAGAATTAATTTAGCTTTCAGGAGGATGTAGTAGGATTTGCAAGCATGTAAATAGCTGACATCTACTTGCATAATCCCCATAGAAAAGCTCAGACCGATAGAATCGGGCGCTCTGGAGCAGCCACACATAAGACCAAGGCTATCATGTCCAATGGCAAACGTGAGCTAGAGGGCTATAAAGCCCCACAGGATTGGGCTGTGGAGCAGTGGAACCGTGTTCATCATCCAACATCAGTACCTGACCTCACTAATGCTCAATCAAATCCTCACAGCAATGTTCCAACATCTAGTGTAAAACCTTCCCAGAAGAGAAGAGGCTGTTACTGTAGCACAAACTCACTATTAATACCCTTCATTTCAGAAGATCGAGGAAGTAAACATGTTTTCTCAAAGCAGGCAGATCCACTTTCTTTTATTTGTTTTTTCAAGACCACAATGTAATTGCAGAAAAAAAAACTGAATGAATGAGCCTCGCTTGGCCTCATTCATCCAGTGGGAAAACTGACCTGAGGGTCTGGACAAAAACATCCCAAGGACACACTTGGCTCTTGGCCATTGTTCAAGTGAGACGCTGAAACTAAGGACTGAAACGCTGTACTGCACTGCAAAGACTTCTTGTTCATTCTTTGATATAGTTTGACTTACTATTAAGTGATGAATTGGTACAACTTAACTGTAATCACTTTAGTATACGGTATAATATTTTAGACCATGATTTTTCAATTTGGTGCCACAACAATATTCTAAAAAAAGTCCTTGTCTAACTTGTATATAAACTGTTCTATTATACAACGCAATCATGGACGTCACAGAGGCTTTAAGTGATTAGAACACAATCAGTGTTGGTCCAGACTGTCTACACTAAAGGAAGCCATGCCTTACATGTACTTCCAGTGTGTACACTGATTCCAACTGAAATCAGCATAATTGTTTCCAAAATAATCTCAAATGCAGTAATTATATAAATACAACATGTTTAATTCATTTTAAACCAGTGTACACAGAGATAACAGTATAAAAACACCATATTTTTGATGTTACTTTTACTTATGATTCCTTTATACCAGGGGTCAGCAACCCAAATGCTAAGAAGCATTCTGTCTGTTTTACCATTTTGGCTGTAAATATGTTTCAGTATGTGCTAACGTACTAGAATATGCTAAAAAATATAAAAGAAAACGCAGACTTATTTTGCTCTGCTTTAAGCTTTAGCTCAAATATAGTCGCTTTTCTCACATCTCTAGCAGGAAAAGGCTTAACTTGCATTTGTGGATGCAGCGACAATCAGTGTTTATTGACGGTTCAAGGTGTTCCTGAAACCATGTGGTGATATACAACTCAGAAGCATACTGAATTTTGGTGCAGTGCCGTCTGAAGAATCGAAGATCAAAGACATTCAGCTGTGGTTTTCGGCCTTGCCCTTTATGCGCAGAGATTTCTCTTGTGCATTTCTATCTTGTGCACTGCAGAGGGTGAAATACCTAAAATCTTTGCAATTGCTCACTGAGTAACATTCAGCAACTGTTTTTAAGAAGAAATTTCTTCTTAAAACCCATTTATGCAGTTTTCACAAAGATTCTGACATTCACCAGTGTTTTCTTATTTGGGATTTGTTCTTAGGTAAGAACAGAATCTACACACACTAAAGAGCACAGAGGTGTGTGCTTTAAGAACACGTCCTGAATCTGACGTAGACTTTTTCTTAGCATCTTTCTCAAGAAAAAAACTAAGAAAAAACTTAGGACGATATAGGTGAATGAGGCCTAATGTCCTTAAACTGTAGGATTATTCACTGGCACATTTTTTGGCAAGTGGCATGCTCTGGAAGGACTAGGCCTTTCCTGGATGCTCTACTAACCGCAATGAATCACTGCATCACCCATTTAAGATGTTTCCTGAACATTTAACAATGTTCCTAGTCTTAAACTGCCCCATATGAATTTTCTGGAACGTGTTATAAGCATCAATTTCAGAGTAAGTGTATTTTTACTCATTCTGCTAAAACATTAGATATCTTGTCTTTGTACTGTTTTGTTTAAATACAGATTAAGGTGTTTTACAAATAAATGCTTTCTGTTTTAATTTGTATTTCACATACTGCCCTAACCTTTTTTGGAATTGAGGTTTCAAAAGACTACTGAAAACACACAGTAACGGAAATGATTATACTCCACAACAAATAAAATACTTCACAACAAGCCATCGCCGACAGAGCTAGGTCAAACAATCTTCTGTGTCAGCCTAAAAATGTTCCCTGTTCTCAATTCCTGAGTGCTTTTTGTCTGTCTCCACTCAAAAGGCAGTGCAGCATTATGACAAGCCAAATGAGTTTTCTCTTTTCGGATGACCGAATCTGTCAGTCCAGAAAACATAATCTCTGTCTAGAGGTAAATCCTTGGGTAAAAAAAGAAAAAAGTACTGCAAATTTGTGGTACATTGCATAAGTGCTCATTAAGTTGTGCTCCAGTGGTTCACCCTAACATCACGGATCAGCTTCTTGCCAGGTTTTAATCTATTCAATCGAGACAAGCACTTGTTACGCAACCAGAAGGCGATGAATGCAGATGTTCTGCCATGTCGTTTTGTCACAGCATACCACCCACTTGAGACCACGATTTAAGATCTGACACAGCAGACTGATCTTTTAATCCAGCAGCATTATGAAAAACGACAAGATGAGGCTGAATTTAGAGATGCAGTGTTATTAGAGCAACATGCTGCAAAGCCTTCCCTCATTGTCATTCAGAGCACATTCAGCATCACAGCCTTCCCTGCAGTCTAACAGCCAATTTCACGACTACTGATCGCATCCCAGTACAACAGCTGATAGTTCAGTCATCTCAGTCACAAACAGGCTGTACTATCACCAGGATTTAGTTGCTGTCATTAGAAAACCTTTGCAGAAACGGGAGGTTTAGAAGAGAAAGAAAAGGCATTATTTAATCTTAAAGGATTCTGGCCTAAAATTAACATTTTAAACATTCTTTGTTATGTTGTGTAGTATTATGTAGGTCAACACTGCATCAATCAGCCTTGTTGGTTTGACTTGTTTCAGTTCATGACTTTGTTGCTTTTGTGCTTTTGTCCATCAGTATATTCTCACTACAACACCCAGCATGCATTACACAAATACATCACACAATCTCAACAAATACTCAACAAATTCTGACTGTTAGCCAGGCTGATACATACATCTGCTAACTAGCATTACTGATATAGTATTAACCTCAATTGGTCATTAAACTTCTTTCTTTGTTAAAAGAATCAAACAAGCGTCCAGCCCAAAGCATTTGTCTTCTCTTTCTGCCACCACTTCAGAATTTTATGAAATGTCATGAAGTCACAGCTACAAAACTCGTCAGAAGGCTTTTAATTTAAAAAGAAAGGTTTTAAAAAGTGGAGACACGTGGCAACAACCAACCTGGTCCATGGAAATGACAAGAGGTAGAGAGAAATATGAAAGACAGAGAGAGGAGAGAGAAAGGTAGATTAAACTAGCTTATGTTACGTTAACTAGTTAACGCATTACAGTGTAATGTTACTTTCTACTGAAGTTCATGGCTGAATTATTGTTGTTATTATTATTATTATTATATTGTGAAATAATGGTCCAACTAATCTAACATTAACGTTAGCGAACTCAGTGAATTGTAATATCAGTAATGTTACTTCAGTGCCAGTAAAATATTTGCCAATGATGTTATTATTTTAATTTTTACTACCTTTTGATAGTTTTTTTTGTAGGGGGAGTGTGGGACTGTCACCACTGCTAAAAATACCCAGAAGAAACACTGAAAACTTACTTACACCTTCAAGATACATCATTCAGGAGGTTTTCTAAGTCTTCAAACCAGTAAATCTTAAACTAGAGACTACTCCAGATGTAAAAGGTGAGTAGGCATTTTTGCAACAGACAGAGTGATGGGTAAATCTGTAATCATGGCCAGAGTTTCCTTTAACATCTGCTAAGTTTAACTTTAAAAACGTGTAATGTGTCCATTCATCATGAAATGTTCAGAGTGTGAAGAGACAGCTGGTGTTTTCAAATGATAAGAAAAGAAAAAGAAGTTCTTGCGACAGCGTGGATTTACATCAGTATGTACGTTTTAAGTATGTTTTAAGACAATATACTGATTTCATGAACCCACATACTCTTAATTGTATGTGGTCAAAAATGAAACAGACTCTAACAGTTTCAGTTAAACGGTTTTCAAGTGTCTGACTGTATGACTGTTGACAGCTGTCACATTTCTTTAACAGTGGAATCTCTCAAGTCTTCAATAACATACATAATTTTTACTGAATTTTCCTCCCAATTTAGTCGTGTCCACTAGTAAGGTTTCCCCCCAATCACAAAATGTTACCGAGCTGGGAGGGTGAAGGCTAGAACATGCTTCCTGTAAGACACCTCTAAGCTCCAACGTCACTGTACATTGTGCGCTTGGAGAAGAGTTAAATGCGAACTGTGTTATGTCAGCTAACAGACACCCACGTTGGCCAGCATCATGCTGAGTGATAGGGGAGAATGAGGACCATCTTACCCACCCAGAGAGAAAGAGAGAGGGAGTGGATGAAAGGATACTTTTTGGCGATGTCCAGCACCGGGCCCTGTCCTGACACCAGCACACACTTGTCATGATACTTCCTCAACATCTTCAAAGGACTGTGAGACATCATGACTTGATCCTGGGATATCTGTGGGAGAATCACAAAAATGATTCTAATCACTACAACACTAACTGATAACAAACTCTGTTCACCTTGTACAACCCCATTTCCCAAAAAGCTGAGATGCTGTGAAAAATGTAAATAAAAACATAATGCAATGATGTGCACATGATTTAAACCCTATATTTTATTGAAAATAGTACAAGGACAACATATCAAAGGCTAAAACTGAGAAATTTTATTGTTTTTTTGAAAAATATATGTCCATTTGTTCCCAAAAAGTTTGGATGGGGGCATGTTTACCACGGTGTTTCATCACCTCTTCTTTTAACAACACTCTGTAAGTGTTTGGGAACTGAGGAGACACTGCTGTAGTTTTGAAAGTGAAAGGTTTTCCATTTTTACTTAATATAGGATTTCAGCTGCTCAACGGTCTGGGGTCTGTTTTGTCGTATTTCTCATTTCATAAAGTCTTGCTGAAATAATCAAGGCCTTTCCTGAAAAAGACGTTGTCTGGACGGCAGCATATGTTGCCAAAACCTGTATGTATCATTCAGCATTAATGATGCCTTCACAGATGTGCATGTCACCCATGCCATGTGCACTAATGCTCCCCTATACCATCATGAAGACTGGCTTTTGAACTTTGTGCTGACCCCAAGCTGAGTGGTCTTTAGCCCGGAGGACACAGTGTCCATGATTTCCAAAAAGAATTTCAAATTTTGAATTGTTGGACCACAGAACACCTTTCCGCTTTGCCTCAGTCCATCCTCAGTTTCAACATTTCATATGCTGTCTTTGTACTATTTTCAAATATTTATAGTGTTTAAATAATTTGCACATCATTGCATTTTGTTTTTTTATTTAGATTTTGCACAGCGTCCCAACTTTTTTGGAAACGGGGTTGCAAATGGTTAGATTACACATTAATTTAATAACTTAAAAATAGGCCTAGTGTTCAAAAGGTTAACCTTAACCAAACATCATGTTATAAAACCACATGAAAAACCAGTGTAACCTGCAAGACTGAGTAAACCATGAGTCATTCTTCAGTCCTGTTTCAAGTCTCTAAACTATATAGGAAATATTAAGTTTCATTATGAGTCATAAAGCATAAACTTGTGAAGAATACTCACAGGAACGCCCAGTATGTGAGACAGCTGATCTGCTTTCTTCTGTCGCAGACAGTTCCCAGCGTTTGTGACAAAGACAACAGGAACAACAAACTGGCCCTTGGAGTCCACCAGCTTTTGGAAAGCTTTCTTGGCTGCTGGGATGGGGGTCCTGCCCCGGACCAAGACCCCGTCAATGTCGAACAGCAAGCCAAAGTCTGGCCCAGACTGCTTAAAGAGATAAAAAGCACAGAGAAAGATGCCAAGATTTGAAGTTGGGGTCTAGAAATGCATGAAAGTGCAAATTTAGCTGCATCTTTTTGGAACGTTTCCGTCGATTTTGCGGTTGGCGGCAGGTTTACTGACTGAAATTCTTCCTCAGGTGTCGGGTCAGTTTTACCAGTGTCAGGTCAGTTTAAAATAACCCTTATACTGGTCCATATGAATCAGCCACAACTGAAATATAGATATTATATATATATATATAGATATATATATATATATATATAATATAAAAGTACAAGCAGTGCAAACCATGATAGCTGTATAACTGTAATATTTTCCAAATTCCAGTGTCTGATGGTTGGAGGCATGAAATGGGACGTAAAAGTATGAGATATATGACTCGAGAGATTTGATGAAGCTGACGTTGGCTCCTTATTCATAATTCTTGTTCCAGCTTAATTGATGCTGCAGTTATTCATGTGACTGTACGGGTGCCAGAATGTAATTCCTGCTCAATTTAAGGTGGAATACAAAATTCTACCAAAAACTGCCCCAAAAAAAGCCAACTTCAGTTTTGTAGAAATTTAGACAAGAAACATTATTAGCGCCATTTTACTCTGGCTTGTAGAGGTAGTGTTAGAAATTTTCATAAAGGTTTATCTATATACTGTTTAGTTTTTACTATTTACTGGTTGTTAAAAACAGATTTTATTAAAAAGTGGAGGGACATCCAAGAATAATCAGCCAATGGTAGCCTTCAAAAATAGGTTTACTTAAGCATCTAAAATGGTTTTATTCAAATATATACATGGTGTGTTGTTTTAATAATAAAATAATTAACACAAACTGAATTGTGGTGAAATTTGCGATTTTATGATCTAATTTCTAAAAAACTCATAATCCAATTAAATCAATGTGAGGTCAGAGATTTACGCATTATAATGTAATTTTAAAAATGGCAGCAAATGTGTTGCCAACACAAAACTGAGACCAAAAAAATCTCTTTTCAGTTTATTATACCAGATGCTTGGTCTGCATCAATGTTGTAATCCTATTAATTACTATGTATACTACATAGTTAAATATCTATTACTACTATATGTTCAATTAAGATTAATACTAATAATCCTCATTTTAAGCCAATTATTACATACGACAAGACTGAGTTACAAGTTACACTGACATTTCTCTACTAGAAACAGCCACTCCCTTTTTCAGACACGTCCTAACAGAACAACACTCTTATACACTCAGCTCTGCTTTGTGAAGTGAAAGTAAGACTGAAGGCTTATTGAATATTCTACCTAGTCTTAGGACTAAATTATAGTGTTAATGAACACTTGCAGTGATTAATTAATTAGACATATGGTTAAAAGTTTCATTTCAGGGCTTCAACTAACTAAGTCTAGATTTACAGGAACAATGTGCATCAATAAGCAGTTTCAGTTGTAATTTTCACCTGTAGTCTCTGGGCAGGTACAGAAAAAACAACAGCGCTGACCAAGACACATAAAAGTACATCAAACAGGTAAAAATACTTACTATAATACAAGATAGTATATAAAACAGAACATGGTGTGAATCATTGGTATATGAATGTACATTTCCTCCAGCTCGTTATTCAGGCCTTTTTCCACCAATCCGTCACAATAAAACAGCTGTGTTTTCCTACAGAGAAGATTTTTTCCTTTGGCAAAAGGTCAATACATCACTAATTCCACTTCAATTCCTCTGCACAGTATAGAACCAGATAGGCTATAATTACACTCTGGCACCTGAGTCCTGCGCTAACACATTCAAAGTGATGATTCAACGAAAGCATGCATGAAAGCACGCTTTCTACACATTCAGTGATAATGTGGGGAGGAGAGGCAGATAAAACATGAAAATGAAGAGTACCTTTTCCATGGAAAAACAAATGACAGTGGAAATTCCAACGCTGTAGCAGGAATTATATAAATTATTTATAGTAAAGTGTAAAATGTCATCTGTGCTGGGACGCAAACGGTTAATGAAATTACAGTCACTGTAAAATCTTTGGCCTAAGTGTTCATCATAATACAGTGACACAGAACAGCCAACAAGACTATAATATAACATTACATTGAATACCACATAACTGTGGTATTTATATACCATATATTTTCATTTTCTGAATACATCTCCAACATGTATTATTATGTTATCAACACTTATTACTATGTCATTAAATGTTCCTGACATCTAGAGTTTTAATGAACAAAACCTCCTACAAAAAAGTTCTTAAAGTTGTATCTTTATAAATTAAATTATATATTTTACATTATACTTTTTAGCTTTATAAGGTACAATAAAATTCTTGTAGAAGGGCCATCTTCTCAAAATATTGACTTATGTCAAAATAATTACTTATTTTCTCAAAATATTGACTTACTATATCAAACACAGTGACATTTTCTCAAAAATGTGACTCATTATGTCAAAATAAAGACTTACTATGTTGAAATAACGAATGATTCTCAAATTAAAGACCTGTTTTCTCTGAATTCCGACTTACTATACTGAATTAATGACTTACTTTCTCAGAAATAATGCCTATGTCAAATGTATAACTTATTGCCCCCAAATAATTAATTACTTAAATACTTTTAAAATCGATAACTCATTATTTTGACATTATATGTTGGAATTTTGTCATTGTAACTCAAAACTATGTCAAAATTTTGAGAAAATAAGTAACGATTGAAAGATACTAAGACAAATTTTTGACACACTTCTGGCAGAAACAGAGAAGGAGAAGAAATCACTGGTGATTTTTATTCTCTTTTGTTTGCTGTGAAATAACAAGTATTACCACAGTTCCATCCAGGTTAAAAAAAGAAAAACAGCATCTTATGATGGGACCCCTGTTCACTGTAGCTTGTCTTCCCTACACATATGTATTTAAGTGTAACACCTGCTTCAGGCCTAGATTAAACATTTAAAAAGCCTATTTATACACATCATGGTCAGGATAACTGTTTGAAGCATGAATCTGGTCCACATTTAAAAAAAAATAATAAAAGCACTGGTCAACACACATGCAGATGACCCATTTCCAGAAGATACAACAGAAACCTCAGTACAGAACCTCAACCTTCATTCAAGATGTCCTCAACTCTTTCTTTTCTCCAAGAAACTGGTCAACAACAGCCATGAGAAAAACAACCTGTGTGGAGTGATGCAGCAGGAATCACCCTCTGAAGATGGGCACAGCCGCTGGACATCACCCAAAACACAGGGAGCTGAATTTCATCTTGCTTTCAACAAATGCTGAACCAGCTTCGTTAATAAAAAATGGTTCTTCAAGGGTTCTTTAGTAAAGGGAAAGGTTCTATTTTGCATGCTTAAATAGTGCTTTGCATGGTGAACTGGTTCTTTAGATTGATGAAGAATGTGTTGTATACGGTTCTATGTAGCACCAAAAAGGGTTCTTCTATTGTTTACGATGTCAGGCTTGTAACCATAGAGGAACGCTTTTTGGTGCTATATAGAACCATTTTGAAAAATGTTCCATACAGAACCATTTCATGCTTAAATGGTTCTTTGAGTGCTGAAATTGTTCTTCTGATTGATGGAGAATGTGTTGCATATGGTTCCACAAAAACCTTTTTGAAAATAGCCCCAAAAGGGTTCTACTACTGCTACTCCGAGCTTGACATCCTAACAGTAGCAGAACCCTTTTTGGTGCTATTTTCAAGAAGGTTCTATATAGAACCATATACAAAACAAGTCTCCATCAATCTGAAGAACCATTTCACCATGCGAAGCACCATTTAAGCATGAAATGGTTCTGTATAGAATCTTTTCGAAAGTGGTTCTATATAGCACCAAAAAGGGTTCTTCTATTATTGCAAGCCTGACATCGTAATAATAGCTGAACCCTTTTTGGTGCGATACAGAACCATATACAACACATTCTCCATCAACCTGAAGAGCCATTTCACCATGCAAAGCACCATTCAAGCATGAAATGGTTCCATACAGAACACATGGCTTTAATCAGAACCATCCCCTTTTCTAAGGAACCCTTGAAGAACCATCTTTTTTCCTTTTTTTAATGTTTACATCACTGATTCCCTGCGGAACCGCAAGTTTGCTGAAGGAACACAAAGTAGGTAGAATAAATTAGCACCACTGGTGAACAGAAAGATCCAGCAACGGTACAAAAACAAACACTGCCACGAAAAAAACAGAAACTGAGGTCAGCTCCTTGTTTTCGAAATTTCCGTTCCACCTTAAATGGTGCAGCAGCTGCAGTGCAGCCTCAGGCGCCAGAACGTAACTGCTGCACCATTTAAGGTGGAACGAGGAAACTCGAACAAGAAGCTGGCCAAATAGTCCACATCAATCAGTCCGAGCCGCGGATGTGAAACACAGCCCCGCTGAAGCCGCAGTTCGGGTCAAGACTGAGTTAAACGCTGAATACTAACCTCTGTCTTGCCGCTGGCCGAGGCGCAGGCGGCGGCTGCCCTTCGCGGCGCGGCGGTGCTGCCCAGCCGGCCCGGCCGGCAGAGCAGGCTGCCCGCCGCCCTGAATACCAAACCCCAGGCTTTCATTTCGCTGCCCTCTCGCCGCTTCCCAGCACCCGAGACTTGCGCTATTTCTCCATGAAGCTTTTTGTAGACGAGCGGCGTGACGACACAGGAGGAGGGCCGAGACCGGCGAGGGCTCGCCAGGAAACGGGCATCCTCACCGAGGACGGCGGGGGAGGAGGAGAGAACTCAAACAGTCTCAGAGAATTAGTTTCACTTCATTAGCCTACATTATGTCCTAGAAATAGACAGAAAAGACAGGAGACGTCGTTTTCTAAGAGTTAGGAGGATGGAGTTGTCTGAGGGGGGATGGGAAGAAACTCAAACTCGAAAACAACAGGCTGCGTCCTAAAACGTGTTCTCGCGCCCTATTTAGGTCGCTTATCTAGTGTTCTAACAATCGGTCCTACCCTTTAAGCGCTCCTACTGCGCATGCGCATGTCATTAATATAAGTAATAGCTTAGTAACCTAGGGTAACTTACCGTATTGTAGTGTTAGTTCGGTACACTCAGCTTAATATTACTACTGATATTATGATTATTATTATTGATTTATTTATTTTTTTAAGCTGCTTATCCTCCTGGGTTGCAGGGGTGTTGCAGCCTATCCCCAGCATCAATTGAGCAGAAGACAGGAAACACCCTGGACAGGTTGCCCGTCCATCACAGGGCAGACACACAGACAAACACAGACATACACACACTCATGCACACCCACACACACACACACACGTATTATCTAAGCCACTTATCCTTCTGGGTCACGGGGGGAGCTGCAGCCTATCCCAGCAGTCATTGGTCGGGAGGACAGGTCACCCTGGACAGGGTTCACTTGTAAAAGAGATTTTTAATCTCAATATGATTACCCCGGTTAAATAAAGGTAAAATAAAAAATAAAAATAAAATAAAAAACTTTTCACAAGGCTTTTTCCTGTTCCACCTTAAATGGTGCCTGAGGTGCAAAATGTAACTGCTGCACCACTTAAGGTGGAACGGGGGAATTCGAACAAGAAGCTGGCGAACGACAAGCTGTCTTCAGCTTCACAACTTTTTGGTGTTCATCACTGTAGATTATAAACATATCAGGATTATAAATGCAAATAAATCCATTCATCTCCAAATTATCGATGTTCGTCTTAAATCTTTCTCTTTATCGTTTCGTCGCAGAGCTTTATTTTACTGCAAAGGAGGATTATTTTATTTTTACCTGACAATCTAATTCTGCTGTGGAGCCACAACAGAGAAGTAGAAGAGCCACGTTTCCGAGCCCTGGTTTGTACCAACACCACAACAAGAAGTTATACCCCCTTGTGATTGCTGGAAAGCTTCGTGCCCAAATATGGAATGAGTTCCTACTCCATTCAGGAGTGTCAGCTGGGACAAAGGAAAGAGGGAATTCTAGGAATCTTATATAAACATGAAATAAACATATCGCTGGATGTACAAAATGTAAAGACCTTTTGTGTAAGTAATTTGGACCATTTCTGTTGGTACTTTGAACACAATGCAAAAGGTAACTGAAGAATGACAATATGCAAAAAAGTAAAAAACAAAAATAGATATAAAATGTTTTTGCCTGACAACAATGTATAACCAAAAGAATATAAATTCTAATACAATTTTATACTTAATCCCTTCATACTTGATCATTCTTCATGCTTTAAGATGCTGAAAAATTCCAAAATTCCATTTCACCAATGCACAAGTCTGATAGCCAGGACTCTATACACTACTTAAGTGTACTAGTTAGGATGCTAGTAGGAATATTGGAACACAGCCACAGTTGTGCCTGTGCTAGTGAGCTAATTGACAGATGGAAAACAGCAGTGAGAAAATCTACTGAGTCAGGCTTTGCCACATCAAACCCTTTGATTCAGTCTAGGAATGTATATAATAATTATATATTTGTAAATTCTTCTCAAATGATTCTTAAAACCTCATCATTCATGTGTTCATTTCCTTTTACTGTAAAAGGAATAAAAACAATAAAAAAGCATGACTATCTGGACAATAGCTGTTTTAATTTGCACTTCAGCACCACACCTGCTTCCTCTTAAATAGAGGTGTAAGAGGTACTTCACAATTATTTTATCCTCCTGTGCTTTGTTTTATTTTCACGACAGCCTCGCTTCAAAAACAGAAATCCAACAGGCCACATCTGACACCTGAGCTTGGGGGGAAAAAAGACAGCAGGGATTTGAATTACAAAAGAGAAACGTTTAGACTGAATAAAGACAGCAGACTTGGGTAAGTGAGTGAGGAGATTAGATTTGGTCTTGATATTGCCAGTGTGACCACGGTTTATTCTAGGTTTGGCGGTCACATGAACTGAGCTGCTTCAAATCAGTCCCTTAATTACAGCAGCACAGGTCACTTTAGGTCACCGATCAGTCCCTCACCTCTTAAAACGAACCAATAGAAAATCTCAATGAGAAATAGATGGTTATGTCTTGGAAATAAAGCAAAAAAAAAACTTTGTCACTATTATAGAAAATTCTTTACTGGTCCAAAAAAGTTAGGAGAGCATAATACAAACATATTTACAAAGAATCTTATGCTGTTCGTCTCACAGTGGGTCAACGTTTAACGATCCAGTCCCGAAAACGTCTTCAAAGGCAGGATACGGCTGGTACAACAGTGTAGACACATTATAAAACACCAGGAATATCACATCAATGGTCTGTATGAACAGCGTTACAATACATTAAACCCGTTAATTACAGTCACTGTGAACACGTGACCATACTGAACTGAAACGTTTAAAAATCTGTAATTATTTGGACACCAAGTCGTGATATCACCAGCTTAGACCTATCCATGCTACGCCCATAAATACTGTTTCTTAGCAACCGTTGCAAGGCTGAAGCAGCTTACAGATCACCGGCATTCTATACAACCAACGTCTATCAAATTATCTAAATTCATAGCATCTTATTTATTCTAAATTATATTTTTCATGTGTGCAAAACGTCACATGGTTAGATCAGGTGTAGGTTTTGTCGCATAATAAGATGTTTTTAGGGCATAAAAGGACTATATGGCCAAAAATTTGTGGACACCTTCTTTTCTAATGTTTCTTCCAAAATCAAGAGTTTAAAAAGGAGTTTGGCTCTCTTTGCTGCAGTATCAACTCTCTACTCTTCTGGGAAGGCTTTACATTAGATGTTGAACATTGCTGTGAGGATTTGATTACGCATTGGTGAGGTCAGGTACTGATGTTGGATGGTCAGTTTTGGACACTCCAAGTCATCCCAAAGGTGTTGTATGGAGCTCCATCCCCTCAAAGAACACAGTTTCACTGCGCCACAGCCCAGTTGTGGGGGGGCTTTATACCCCTCTAGCCCACGTGTGAAATTGGGCATGGTGACCTTAGGCTCATGTGCAGCTGCTAGAGAGTGACCTGTTCTATTGTCAATGCTTTTCTATGGAGATTAGGTGCTTTTCCTTGTGTGTACATCTGACGCTCGTCAACAGTGGGTGCATTTTAATGCATCTGAATTTACTAACATAAAGGGGTGTCCACACACTTTTGGACATATAGTGTATCTCACTGATACGCTAAGCTAAATAGATTTCAGCTGTTTTAGCGTTGCTCGCTATCTCAAAAAGCCAAGCTAGTGACGAAGAGACAAATAGAGCAACTCTTTAAACTGTAACATAAAAATGATAAGCAACTCAAAGTCTCTGTAAAGTGTGTAGATTATTCATTGACTAAACTAAATCAGGGTGAGAATTCACAATGTTTAAAAAAGCATTTATAAACGTATTAGAATTGTACACACATGCACATAATATATCATTTGAAATGAATATTAATAACACACTCCAAATGTACATATTTTGACCAAAACTGGGCCAACGTTCTCAAAAATCTGTCCAACCTGGCAACAGTTGCTATGCAACAATGCATTTGTGGGCGAAACTACACTCTTAAAAAGGATGGTTCTTCAAGGGTTCTTTAGTAAAGGAAATGGTTCTATATAGAACCATGAACACTCAAAAGAACCCTCTGCATGATTATAGGGTTCTTTGTTTTGTAAAATGGTTCTTCAGATTGACAGAGAATGTGTTCCAGAGGGTTCTATATGGAACCTTTGTGTAAAGGGTTTTATATAGAAAAAAGGATTCTACTACTGAAACAAGCTTGTATTGTAGTAATAGCAGAATTCTTTTTGGTGCTATATAGAACCCTTTTCACAAAAGGTTCTATATAGAACCATACACACCACACATTCTCTATCAATCTGAAGAACAATTTCATGATACAATAACCCCTTTAATCATGCAGAGGGTTCTTTGAGCATTAATGGTTCTATATAGGACCATTTTCTTTACTGAAAAACCCTTGAGGAACCATCGTTCTTTAGATTGATGGATAAAGTGCTCTAGATGGTTTTATACAGAACCTTTTTGAAAAGGGTTCTATATAGCACCAAAAAGGGTTTTTCTTTTGTAACAAGCTTGTATCGTAACAATGGCAGAACCCTTTCCGGTGCTATATAAAAGCCTTTTTCGAACCATATACCACACATCTCCATTAATCCGAAGAACAATTTCATGATGCAAAGAACCCTTTAATCAAGCAAAGAACACTTAATCATGCAGACGGTTCTTTGAGTGTTCACGGTTCTATACAGAACCATTTTCTTTACAAAAGAACCATCCTTTTTAAAAGTGTATGACAGGTCGGTTCCATTTTTTGACTTCCATTCTGTATGTTCACCCTTCGTTCCTTGTAACACCTCAGAATTAAGCCATAAATGGATTCCCAGGTCATTAAGTCTGCATGGCTCTTATTGTGAGGTTGCCAAATACTAAGAACTACCACTATAATGAGGGGACGCTACAAACCAAGTAGCGCTTTAGCTTCTTCACTTTGCGCCATTAAGCTCTCACTGGCATACTTCTGCAGCAACTCCATCTTCTTTCTTCTGACCAGGGCCTCTTCGATCTGTGAGTGATCAATAAAATCAATAAAGCACACGTTTTCTCAAAAGGTCAAACTAAAAGCAGCATTATTGACAATTCTTGAGCAGTTTTGAGTAATAAAAGAGTCGTTAACATGTCAGTACATGGTTAACAGTCAATACACTAACGCACAAAGTGGTATTCAATGTTATAAACTACTAAAATGCAATTTAAAGTTGTATAAAATTATTCTGCAACAGCAAGAAGTTATTATAATTATAATTTATGTACTTATAAGCTATATAATTAATTACCCATCTGCCTCAAAATTTGATCAAATGATACATTTTGGATATTACGTTTATTACAACTTCATCACTCTAACTGTTTTACAGCTTCCTTAATTATCTTAAACCAGTGAAGCTGCACAAGACCAGCACAACAGAATCACTGCATTCATTTATCTGGAACAAAACATTTTTCTATCACTGAAAACATTCATTAAAAACTTTCTGAAAAATAGGACATACAGTTGTATGCAAACGTTTGAACACCCCCAGTGAAACTGTGTTGTTTTTCTGAAGTAAAAATAAGGAAACACGTCTTCTACAAAGAACACATTTAAATATGGCACATTTATCTGCACTTTTTGAGCACAATTTCTATTTATCTGCTAAATTTAACACATAAGAAAACATAAAATATAAAATGTGCCAGAAGTTTTACATGGAATATAATTAATGTTTTTTTCTTTCTAATATATTAAATTAATAAACAGTAATAGTGTGTTTAAATGTGCAAAAGTGATGTGTTAACTTGGGGTGATTTCCCACTAGAGCTTTTTTCTGGACCCAAGACTGCTTCTTCTGTGAGTTCGGTACATTTGGTCAACTGTTGTAGAGCCCAGGGCCGGTCCAGAGAACCGACTTCTTGTCCTCCTGAAATTAGGGTTCGCTTCCAGGCAATTCTAGTGCGGTCTGCTGCACATGTGGTAGCCATCGGGGTAGCGTGATTGGTTCCTTGTAACGTGACTGCTTGAACCGTATCACTTCCCTTTAAAGTTTCGTGATGGCAGGAAACGATTGTTGTGGACAAAAAGTGCTGTTCTTCACTGCTTGGGTGTTTGTATCCAAGGAAAATAAAAAAAAGTAGAATGTATGAAGCTAGTGCTGACGTTTTGCAAACCTGCACCTAGAAAAGTGACGTATAGAATTACGCACCGTTCCTAGGTCCAGATGGTCCTGGTTGTGGACAAGTGTGAAAAACGGCTTTATCTTCACTTAGAAAATCAACAAAACAAAAACTGGGGCGCCCAGACTTTTAAAAGTGCCGCCTACAATAACTGAAAGAAATCAATATAATGAATAAAACCTGATTAATTCAGCAAAACAAACTCAAAAAATAAACCTCCCTCATTCTGCATATATGCACGCTGTACAGCATACTGCACAATACAGTGCAACAAAATGAACCCCTCACCTCTTTCTGTGATGGCACAGGCACGTGAGCAATGAATGTTTGTGCCCCGTCTTCTCCCTCCATCTGTTCCCTCATCTCATCATCAGATTGCTAGAGGACAAAGAATTCGAATCAGAGAATGAATCACAATATAAAAAAATGAACACACAATATCTAAAAGAAAACACTTCAACCAGAGGCGGCACAATGTCACCTTTTCTTTTTCGATACTCATACCAATACTGAGCATCGTCCGATTACAATTTAATATTTCTGCTTTGAAACCAATAAGCTTCGAAACGAGCCATTTTTAAATGACGCACTTCACTTAAAGGGGAATTCCACCAGTTTTCCATAATTTCTGCATAGTTACATGCTTAAGTTGTAAGGAAAGTCATTCAGAGTGATTTGGTGTGAAATGCTCTGTTCTAGAGAAACTCAAGTCAGACTTGTTCACAGTAGCCACGTTTACATGCAGCCTAATAATCCGTTAATAATCCGACTAACAGCTCAATCGGGATAGAATGCGTCCATGTAAACACCTCAATCGGAATAGTCTGACTGAGGCCATTCGGAATACAATTTCTATCCGACTGAACGAGGTGGGTAGACTTCTAAATAATCTGTTAAATAGAAGAATAATAACCACGTAAATGCCTGTATCTGATTACATTCCAGTCGGAATGTGTAAATACGGTCTGCGCATGTGCGTCGCATCATAGTGAAGGTTTATAACGTTCAACATGGCGGAGCAGAAACTGGTCTGCAGAGGAGACAAAGTTTATGCTCTGAGCTTTAAAAGACGGCGGTGGGACGGACGTCCAGCTTATGTGTCTCAGAACTTCTTTAATAAGTACATGTGAAGCATGTTTTCCTGAGTCTGACATCATTTTAAAGCAATTAAAAACACAAGCGCACCAACTGGAAACTCATCTCACTCGGACTGGACCTCACGTGATGTCCGCTGTCATGGTAACGTTTACCTAATGTTGTTCTAAGCGCTACTCCACGCATGCGCGTGATTTTGCATCGGATTACTTGTAGTGAGCATGTAAACGAAGATTTTCCATCAAATTGTTGAATAGTGTGTGCGTATAAACACCTCAGTCTGAGTCTGTAATCCGATTGTATTCAATCAGATTGGCAAAAATCTTTGCATGTAAACACAGCCAGTGATGGTCACAAGAAGAGTAAAGTTATTACATGAAATGGTTACAAGAAGGTTTTGGCATAAAACATATATTTTTAAAAATTCATTCACAGCAGAGAGGTACATGCAGGATGTTGTGGAGCATAACAGTACTCAAAAAAGTTTATTTCTTCAGATTAACCAGTATTTTACCATTATAAACATCACATTTAAAAACTCAGAGGACACATTTAGGTTCACTGGTGGTTTTGGATAGTAAATAAAATGGCTATATCTGCATTGTAGACATGGTGACCCCCGGTTCCTACCACCACCACTGTAAATAAATCTGAGTAGGTAAGTTTCTCTTTAATTTCACATTATACCACTCTAAATGACTTTGTTTACATCTCAACAATTGTATTATGTAGAAATGTTTAAAAATTGGGGACATTCCTCATAAAATCCCCTTTAAGAGCCTCTACAAGGATCATACTGAAACTGCTCAACCAATCCATTAACCATCCATTAGCCATTACCTCATCATCTTTGATCGCGTATATGTATTCCTCCTCCTCCTCTTCCACCTCTTTGGTTCCTCCACCCCCGGCTAAACGTGCCTCTTTCTCCTCCTTCCACTTCTCAATGGCCTCTGCTATTACTGTGCCAAAGGAAAGAATGAGATAACTGATCAATAAGCAGTGTGCGAGACACATTAGCATGACATTGTTTTATGCAACATTAATGAAACAGAAACACTTATAATTACGCAATAAAACATAAGAGGAAGTGCTATATCATGCCTGTTACCTGCCTACAACCATAGCACACAAGTGTTAAAGTCCCATTGTAAAATATTAAAAATATTTGTATGACACAGAAAATGAGTGTCACATTAAATATCCAGCATAAAAAGATTCAAATATGATAAAACATGCCTTAAAATCGCTAATCAGACAGATCTGGGAACTGCCGAGGTGTAGTCCTAATACTATGATGAGTGCGCATGACTGACATCCCTCAGTCCAACACTCTCAGGCTGTTACACAACTGGAGCAGAAGTAAACTCAACAGGACAAGTGAAGAGAGGGAGAAATACGTGAAATGGAACCTACACATACTGTTGGCACTGTAGATGACCCTGCTACCCTGCTATTTTTTAAAACAATGTCCAATTTTTTATTACTTTAAAGAAGTGTGGGGGAACCCAGTTTTGTTAAAGCTGTGTGGGAAGAAAAACCCACATTAGCCTTGTGATCGAAGAGGATATTAATTACATAAGATCCAAGATTAGGACCACTTGCCCCAAAAATGAACTGGCGGTTTCATTTCGGTTTGTTGGTAGTATGTTTGTATGTTTGGTATGTGTCATGTTGGGCACACAACTCTGAGTTTTAAGCTGCTTTCATACTGAACACTGAATGAATGAAAATTCACCGCTGCTATTTCAAATACAGTTTCATTGCAGACGCAGATTTTGGCCTGGTGGAGCTCAGTGAGGAGCACAGCCGAAAACAGAACCCACCACGGCAAACACGCAGCGTCATTCTTCCAATTTTGCATGATTCGGGCAATTGTTTTAGCATGGCCTGGTGGTTCCTCTCACCACCTGGGGTGAAAGGGGTGCAAGTTCTAATAGAGTTGTGGTCTGAACAAGAAATGGTCTGAGATCTCAAAGGACCAGAAAGAAAACTGAGTCCTCTTTACTTACATTGTGAACAAAAAGAACTAAGGTCATTTGCAGTTGGTTCCTTTTCAGGTTCACTTTAACAGAACTCAGTTCGGTTCATTTAAAAAGAACTACATGTGAAAACACCCTTAGTTTACATCGAGAGAGGGCAATTTTGGCAAAACTCAATAACTATTTACTGGCCACTGAAAAGCTATTTACAGGATACACTTTGTTCATGTATATTCTGTGCCCCTGAGAGCATGTTTAATCTGCATGTTTAATCTAAGATCATGTGTTGGAACATAAACAGACAGACATTCTGTGATGTAAGCAGGAGCTTTAAGGTCATTTCAAGCTTGAGGAACTAGCAGCAGAACTTTAAAATCTATCCTAAAGATACAGGTAGCCAGTGCAACTCCTGCAAAATGCAGGTAATATGAGCTCTTTGGTTTGTGTTTTGTTTTTTGTGAAGACTCATGCTGCTGCATTTTATACGAACTGTACGGGATGTATTGTTCTATTAGGAAGTCCAGTATAAAGATCATTACAGTGATCAACTCTGTTTGTAACAAATACATGAACAAGCTTCTCTGCGCTGCTCTGAGACAGAAAAGGGTGAAATTAACAACATTTCTCAAATGATACAAAGTTACTTTAGTGACTGTGTTCACATGCAGGACAAAACAAAAGCTCAGAGTCTATGATAACACCCAGGTTTCCTACTTTAGGTTTGGTGTATGAAGACTGCTAATTGAGCCAGGACACTGTGACTGAACGCATTCACATGACTAGAATGTGGCTGACTGATCCATCCAGGTCACTGGACTATCAGATGGATATTTAAGCAGCACCAAACCTCATGTTACATGTCACGCATTCAATAATCACCTAATGGGAAACACACGGCTCGAGAGTACGAGCAGCAAATAAGACTACTACTCTGTCAGTGTACAGAAACAAAGCTGCCCTTTGTATCGCGACAATCCGAGAACAGTCTGCTGTCTTTCTGTAAGCATCCCAGTTCCTAACGAAGTGAAGTCATGTTTCAGTATTAGTAGGAATGTCTCGTGGGGAGCGGTCTTTTCCAGAGGCACGAGACATTTAAAATGGACCTGTCACTTATGTAACTGATTGTAGGATGTAACTGAATGAATGTGAGCCTCACTGTCTTAAACAAATCTTCAGTAGTTGAGTGAGTAGGTGATGCAGACAATTTATTGCTGGTTATTTAATGTTTAAGATATAACTTTTATCAGTTGTTTCATTAGTTTTGTAGTTTTTGCAAAACATGGCATCACGTAAACAGCTTTAAATGTGTTACTACAAACTACGAAACATGCTCATACATTTAAAGTATTAGGAGGAGCCAGATGTCCTCAAACATTTGACAGGGCACCTCAGAAAATGACTTCAGTTTGTGAAAAGTATCTACATTTAAAACTGCATTTAAATTAAAAGGGATTTGTTGAATGTAGGCATTCACTTTACAATATCAGTTTACAATTGTATCATGATATTGTACTGAAAAAAAAACCACAACAATAACGCCAATATTTCTACCAACTTGTATCTAATATATATTAGCATCAAGCTAACAGTGGTGGGTTTTTCCCCACACTGGTGTCAGAATTACACGGATCGAGTCTACACACAGACTTTGGACAAGCAAAGCTTGTAACAGACATTTGGGTTATTTTTATTATTTTTTTAACTTTCTATGCTGCAAGTCTGCAAGTATAGTGTTAAACGTTTCAGTAAATGTTTCAACTTAGAGTCTAACTCTAAATATTACTGAATTTGCCTGTTAGCCCATTAGTAGTCTGCCGAGCTGCTTCTTAAAGAAAACTGGGTTCTCATGTAAGGTTAAATTCAGTCTTCTTTTCGTAACTTTCCCTTAATATATACATGTATTCGTGAGACTAAACATTCTCCCCTCTCCAAGCTGGGTGCGATGCGAGTCTTCAACTGTCTGAGGGATAAAAAGTCCTCCATCTGCTCCTCTTTCTGCTGTGCTGTGGCTACATTTGTTGTGATTGTTTACAAGTTCTGTTCAGAAGAGAAACTGTATCATGTCCAGGAACATGTGTCAATATGTATCCCTCAGCTGCGGTATTTGTTTTTTTCCCCACTGATTTGCCCTCGCTTCCTAGAATTCAGTCGGATATCTTAGCATTCACATCTCTATTGTTGAGACACTGTATTCTGTTCCTTTTCAACTAATTAAAAAATAAAAAAGAAAAAAAAGGTGTGGCTCCAATGACAGTGAATGGCCAAACTGCACTAAGTGTAAACAAGATGTCTTTTGGGACACAACCTACCTTCCTTCTCATACTCTTGCTCCAAGGGCACTAAAACACCATCATCCTCGTCTCGGTAGCCATAATAATCAGCATCAATGTCCTTCATCAGCTCAGCCCGCGTCTTTCTGGGTGGTGGGACCGCTACAGAAGAACAATAATCAGTTACTTTTCATATGGCCATGTTTTTCTTAAACACACACTGTATTCCACAGGCAAAACTACAGAGAGAGAAAACTGAAGAAGCCAGAGAGGAGACAAAATAGTAACACCTGTCAGTAGAAAAACATAACAGGTCAAATGCAATTCTCAGTAGCCTCAAAGGCTACGTTCACATTACAAGCCTCACTGCTCAAATCCAATTCTTTGCTCAGATGTGACCTCTCTAACATGAGGTTTCAAATTTGTTTAGATAAGCGACTCAAATCTGTCATTAATGTGAACAAACCGACCCGCATGTGCACACCCTGATCAGTAACGTCACATGAATGAATCACGTGTCAGGAACAGCAACAAACTAACGAGCAGAGTGAGATCTGAATCACTTTAGAGCAAAAGAAACAGATTTGTACCACTTCAATCTGGTCATGTGAACGCAGCTAAAGAAACATGGATTCTTCTGAGATCTGAGATGCTGTTTATTATGAACGTTTTCATTTAACTTACGCTCTTTTTCGAATAGCTCTCTTACACCCGGCAGGTCTTTTGCAGCACCAAAATACTTGTAACCTCTGTTTCCTGGCACTTCTTTGCCCTCATGGTCAAGCATCTTTGGTCCTACTCTCTAATACACACACAGACACAATCCAGAAGTTATAATATTCTTAACACATTTGCATTACATGTCTATTCGTGTAAGTGCATTTAAAGAACGAATACATAGTTTTACATGTAAACTGATTGCCAAGTACACATTAGTTAAGGTCTCTCAAACAGGACTCAAACTACAGAAAACCAACAAATTTTGTAAAAGTAAAATTAACTAATACAGCCTGCTTAAAAGTACTGCTTGGCTTATGATAAATGACTGGTAGCCGTTAATTAACCTGAGCTCTTTAGTATAATAATGGCTATACAATTTCATTCACTGTTCACAACATTAGCATTTTGGATTAAACAATTAAATTGAAATTAATGAAGAAAGCTGTTTTGGACTTCTATAACATAATACTGAATACTGAATGATAACAAATTTCTGTGTTTGCTAAGGTTCATTTAAATTGTTTACCGCATAGTCAGGTCCTCCCAGCTCCTTGATTCGAACCTCCCAGTGGCCCTTCTCTCTGAGAAGCTTGTTGATCTCATCGTTCAGGTCACGGATCTTAAATTCCCCCAAACCAGCTGAAGAAGATTAAAAGCACTATCCTTAAATATTTTAAGTCAAAATTCCGTGGTTCTGTACAAGCAATACACCTAGAAATATACAAATAATGAATAAAAAAATGGTACTCACCATTCTGAATCTGTGCTACCTTCTTGGAAATTTCACTGATGATCTATAAAGGAAGATGAAAGATAGATGAAAAACTAAATATAGACATGCATTTGTGTGTACCAGGGTGCCCAAACGTTCAGTCTGAGGTGCCAAAGTGCATAGCTTGTGGTGGGTCAACAGCCAAATAGACAAAACAGTATATAAATAAAGAAGGTAAGTAGGTTTCAAATTGAGTTTGTAAAAATTTCGGTAACAATATTACACCTCATTTAAATAAATACTTCAAAAATTCTGATCGGCCAGATCAAACACCTCATGGGGCAACTTTGGGCAGGCCAGATGTATACAATATGACAGTTGTCATATATCATAAATATGAAGCATAAATATCATAGTTAAACAAACAAACAGATTAACAAAGCTACAGTATCATCATAAATTACACTGAACACCCAGGAGTACAGCAGTGTTTAGAAACCGGTACACTTTCTTGTTTTCTTGAGCAAATATTATCAGAAAATTCTCTTACCTGCCGTCGCCACTTCTCTGCTTTAGGTAACTCATTACATTCTGAAGCAAGAAATGGTCGTCTTTCCTGATAAAAGAATGTATTAATGAGTATGAGCATGACCATAAATCTACAATAATCAATAAAAAGTTTATCCTGAGCATTAGCCTTACCTTCACTTTTCCTTCTTCAAGTTGGGCTTGGCGAAATCTGGCCAAGGCCGTCCTACAGAAGAGAAAAGGCTTGAATAAGAGTGTGTGATAATGCATGAAATCTAGAATAAATTAAGCAAATTAAAATAAAACACCACAATCTAAATATCTACATAGAAATATCTGTGGACTGAAATACTTGAAAAACATATATAATCCATAAGACAAAACTTACATGGCCTTTTCTGCATTTCGAGCCTGAAAAAAAACCAAACATGATTATTAGGCAAAAGACAAACAGCAGAAATGTTTCAAAACTTTAGGCAAATGCTTTAATTCAAATTCAAGAAGATGGCAACGTCTCTAACAATGTTTTGTCTTAATCTTACAAAGTTTCTGAATCTGTGGAAGACAGAATTTAAGTATGATTAAGTCACATGCAGGAAACTGCAATACAGTCCAGTATCTGAGCTTTTACAACCCATTCATACTAATTACAACCTGACCAACCAGCTTAAAGTTACTTCAGTCAATTCTGACTGAGTGGCTGACGGAGGCGGGTAGTAACTACTTCCATTACCAAGAGGATCTAGAACCAATTTTAACCTGCTTTTCTAAATGTTTATGTATCAGCTTTGACAGTGTACATTAAAAATACCAGATATCAGAGACCAAATGCCCCATATGGGTGCATTCGTACCTTTCACTCAGTTCCACAGCCATTCACATTTAGATTCTATGGGTTTTTTTTTTTGTTAATTTTATTTTAATCTGTTGTGTTGGTTCAGCTCCTGGACAGGTTTGCTGTTGCACACAAACCTCTATCTTTGGAGCTTTAGTATTTTATTGTAGAACAAAATGACCCCATGAAGAGATAAACAGAGAACAAACAAACTGCAGCTCCTATGTTGATCAGCGCTGGATGTACTAAGAATTTGAACTGCAGCTCTTTAATAACTCAATAATAACTTTAATAACATGGTCTCCTTGGAGGTTTTTCAGCAAACGAAATGTTCTGTTTAGAACCATGAGATATCTATAGAACCATTTCTCCCTTAAACAGTTCTTTGCCAGGCGCAACAGGTCTTCAAACTGATGGACAATATGTTGCAAACGGCTCTGCATAGAACCTTTTGGAAATTTCAAATGGCACCAAAAAGGGTTCTTCTACTGCTGCGATGCTAAGCCTGTAACCCATTTGGCGCTACACAGAACCATATGCAACACATCAATTCTCCATCAATCTGAAGAACTTTTTCACCATGCAAAGCACCATTTAAGCATGGAATGGTTCTACACAGAACCACTGCCTTTACTGAAGAACACTTGAAGAACCAGTGTACTTTATTTTTACTTGAGTGAATATTTAAAACGATGTATTATCTGTTTATTCGGCTGAGTTTAGGCTCCACTATTAACTGACGGTACCAGCAGTTCACAATAAAAAGTTGGCTTCTTATTCGCACCTTCTTTCCACCTTAAATGCACCAGAACCTAACAGCACCTTTTAAGGTGGAACGGAAAACTCGAATAAGAAAGCAACTTCAGCTTCGTCAAAAAAACTGACAGAACACGAACACCTGGAGTTACAGATCAAACTCAGACTCATTATCCTCCACAACACAACAATAACCGGACTACCCGCTTCAGCCTGAACACGAATTAAAACGCTTATTTACCATGTTTGGTCGCCAACGCGGACTGCTGTGTGCGTTAGCAAGCCGACGCAGAAATGTGACGCAATCAACAACTTCGATGACGACACGACAAAAAAAAAATCCTGGACTTTTATTCTCGAAACGTTTTATACGCGCCTGTAACAAATTTTATTTTTATATTTTTCGGATGTAGTTTACAGATGTGGCTTAAATAAATAAATAAATAAATAAACAAATAAATAAATATGCATTACCAAATATATACATATATATATATATATATATATATATATATATATATATATATATATATATATATATATGTTTAGTGCTTTTACTCTTCATATAATTTGTTGTCGTTTATATATGTCGTAAGTTTATTTGTTTTTACTAAAAAGTAACAAGAGGTACAAATAACATGATACGTTTTAGATGTGGTGAGTATATACATATATATATATATATATATGTGTGTGTGTGTGTGTATGTATGTATATGCATGTGTGTATGTATGACCAAAAATCTGACACTTTACAAAGAGCTTGTTCCTCAGAAGTGCAACCCTTCTTTTTTCTGTAAGTGCAATTATACACATATCCAATAAAAAAGAATAGAGGATAAAGAAGCAGAGAGAGAAACTGTCACTATTGTCAAGTGAAGACATTTTCTGACAGCTTTCCATCAGAACACATGCATTCGCCAAAATGAAAATACACTCGACTTCTGATGACATTACGCCATCTAGTGGTAGAAGACAGTCATGTCATAACGTCCTCAATACCAGTATACATACAAATCTTTATGCAGTGTTGATGGTGAAATGAATCTGGGAGAAAATAATTTCCTTCACAGACTATTTTGCCTCATAACGCCCTGCATGTACATGAATGGATTAGAAAAAAATACATTTTAGGCCAAAATCTTCTCAAAACTACCGCAGAACATTGAGCCTCATTCACCGGTATCTTGCTAAGTTTTCTTAAATTTGTTCTTGAGAAAGGTCCTAAGAAAAAGTCTACGTCAGATTCATGACATGTTCCTTAACCACAGAATTGTTCTCACCTTTACGTTCTTGAGTGAGTGTTGATTCTGTTCTTACCTAAGAACAAATCCCAAATAAGAAAACACTGTTGAATGTCAGAATATTCGTATAGAGGCCCAGCATCTCAGTGTATTCATAACCATTTCATGTAATATCTCTCTGTGAGGGAGCTTTTAGAGGTGGACGTCTGGTTCCTACCACTGTGAACAATTCTGACTCAATAAGTTTCTCTAGAACAGAGCATTTCACACTAAACCACTGTGAATGACTTGTTTACATCTCAACCATTATATTACTTATTAATTGTGAAAAATCAATGAAGATTTCATTTAATTGCCCAAGCCATTCTACCATTAACACAGTAATAGTGATTGTGCCAATAGATGTGCTGGAAAAGAAAACACAACAGGCCAAATCTCACATTAGTCTCCACTCATTATTCAAATTCACTTGGCTACATTATTTCCAATGCATGTGGCAATGAAGATACAATCCTATGCAAAAGTTTTGGCGCCCCTGGTCTAATTCCATGTTTTGTTGATTTTCTAAGTGTAAATAAGTGAACACATCCTCTACAGAAACACACTTCTGCACATTTTAATGCATAATTACCATTTATTTTCTGAATATAACATATTGGAAAAATAAAATCTCAAATATGGCCTGTGAACAATTTATGACACAGTTTAGATTTTATGTTTTATTTTTTCCCCAATATGATAAATCCAGAAAATCAATCAATCAGTCAACCTTTTATTTCAACTCGGAAGTACAACGAGGGTGACCTTCATTTTACAATGTAGTTGAACAAATTACAAGGGATCAAAAAAAGTTGAAATGAAATTTCCCAACTAAAACAAAGAAAAATCAGCAAGACAAAAATAAAATAAATAAATAAATAAATAAATAAATACTTTAGAAACTACAACTCAAATAGGAAACAGGTATACAACATTAATAAAATATAGAATCAAAGCCATTAAAATGAAGTAACAGAACCAACTTAGATAGTGAACTAAGATTTTAGAAAAATCTAATTATTTACTAGAACAGAACAGTAAAAGAATTAACATCAAATAAAACAGTTGTGAAAATATAAAAATATTCAGATAAAAAAATTATAATAATAATAAAGGAGAAAGGAAAAGTTAAACTCAACTGAAACAGTTCCAGGCTGCCTGAAGGTGGCTAGAGTCTAATAGTTTAAAATGACTGGGTGACATTTAAGGCTCTTCTCTGCGGATGATGAACTTATTTTCACTTAGAAAATCAACACAATTTGTAGTTTGACTGGGGTGCACAAACTTTTGCATACAACTGTATCTTCATCATATGTGGGTTCAGGAGCCTCTATTGCTTGTGCTGTAATTCATTCAATCAGAATGAATAATTGATGCCTGAGCTAAATAGAGTGCTTTGTCCAGAAAGGAGAGCGTTGAAAAGGGAATGTCCACCTGCAGCTGTGGAGGCCTGGTGATGACACTCGTGTATCAGTGAAGGTGAACAGGACACTGACCTCTAACAGCGGCTAGAGTTCCATCTTTCAATTTTAATGAAGGTGGATGGTGGTAAAAGTGGAGGCACACAAAAACCTCCACAGAAAAGCACTGAAAAGAATGGAGCTCTGGAGTCTAAGGTCACAATGCCCAGTGCCAAGTGTGGGCTAGAGGGGTGTAAAGCCCCCAGCATTGGGCTGTGGAGCAGTGAAACTTCTCTGGAGTGATGGAGCTCCATGCAATACCTGTGGGATGAGTTGGAGTGATTCAGAACTGACCATCCAACATCAGTACCTGACCTCACTAATGCTCAATCAAATCCTCACAGCAATGTTCCAACATCTAGTGTAAAGCCTTCCCAGAAGAGTAGAGGCTGTTAATGCAGCAAAGGAGGACAAACTCCCTATTAATACCCTTCACTTGAGAAGAAAGACTGGTGTCTACAAACTTTTGGACAATGTGTAGTTGACAGAGTTTCAGACATAGTCTAAGACTGAAATATCTGCTTTACAGGGTTGGTAGAGTTTGACCAACTCAACACCTGATGTCTGTGATGTCCACTATCTATCTATCTGTATATCTATCTATCTATCTATATATATATATATATATATATATATATATATATATATATATATATATATATATATATATATATATATATATATGAATAAAATAATATGCAATGGCCAGTTGCGGGTCACGGCAAAATGTTCATTAAACATTAAATGAAACATAAACGTTCTCTGGCCCACGGATTTATTGAGATTTTTTAAAATGGCCCTTATAGTGGTTGAGTTTGACACCCCTGCCATTTGCAATGCAGTTGAGCCAAAATAGAAAAAAACCTCCATGCAATTGAACTACTCTGCATTATTTCATATACATATATTATATAACATATAGTAGTCAGTACTTAGCAATGCATTAACTCAGTATCAGCTCCAGACATGATATTTAGGGCTCAAGTAGACATCACCCATAAGGAAAAAAATATATTCCAAACGTATTTATCAAATATATTTTTCAATGTACTAAAATGGCCAAAACATTTGTTTGCTAAATCTATTTTTAAAGTGCATTTATTTGTATTTGTTATTATATTTTTTTCAACTGTTTGTAGTTGTAAAAGCTTACATATATATCTAAATATATATAAACTGAATAAATGACTTCTGTGTTCAAGATATCAAATCATAACTGCATTTTCACAGTGTATCAATACCTACAACACTTGCTTTGTGTTGATGGTTCATTTGCTAATGAAGAATCGCTAAAATGAAGATACTGGAATACAAATACATTACAAATGGTATCAAACAGTAAAGTGCATTAGACAGTATTCTGGTTATTTTCATACATTTTCATATGTATTTCATAAATACATGTACAAACATTTATTTCTGTGTGGTACATTTGTATGTGTAATATTTTCCCACACATTTTAAAATAAATGTATTTTAAAATGTATTTAGTTAAAACGGCAATACATCCTGAGATACATTTTAGCGTTTGGAACGTATTTCAGCATGGACTGCAAAAATACATATCCATATTTTTTTCCATATGGGCACTATCACAACAGCCTACACAGTTTTGAGCTGCTGCTGTTTTGTGTCGGCAGCTGCTGTGAGCTCAGGGTGGCCTGACCATTAGCAGTGATTGTCCGGGCAGCAGTCGGTGGATTCTTCTTTGCTTCTAGTTCTAAGTGAAGCTGGTGGAGCTCCTTGGTGATCGTAGTCATTTCTAAGTTCCTCGCTTTTAGAGCTCTGCTAGTCTTCTCCAGATTGGCTGTTAGCTCTTGTAGCTCCTTCTCTTTGAGGCTGCGTTCATGCTCCAGGCAAAGCACTCTCTGATGCAGACTTGCAGCCATAACTTGAGCAGAATGCAGCTGTGTGTTAGAAGCCATAATTAAAACAACATACATATTAATTATTAGGAGCCACTGGTAAGAACTGCAAATATGCAGACTTGATCAGAAATGCAGCAGAACTATTAACACACCACAGAAAAGGAGCTTATAAAGGACAATTCCATTCCAAAAATTGAGCATAATTAAATTGAGATCATTCAGAGTGGTTTGGTGTGAAATGCTCTGTTCTAGAGAAACTTACTAAGTCAGAATTGTTCACAGTGGTGGTGGTAGGAACCAGACGTCCACCTCTGAAAGCTCCCTCACAGAAAGTTATTACAGAAAACTAATGAATACATTGATGCCTGAGACATTGTTTTATAAAAGTTTTACAAAACATTTTTGGCCTAAAATGTATCTTTATTAATCAATTCTTGGTGGAGAGTTACACGCAGGTGAAAACACCCAAAGAACACTTATTTTTTCAGACGTACCACTATTTTAGCATTTTTATCAAAAACTCAGAGGACACAAATAGGTTCTCTGGTGGTTTTGGACAGTAAATAAAATGGCTATATTTGTGTTGTAGTCATGGTGACACCTGGTTCTTATCACCACCACTGTAAAGAAATCTGAGTTTGTAAGTTTCTTTCTAATAAATCATTTTACATCAAAAACACTCTGAATGCC